CTGTTCTCATGCTCCCACTTTCCATTCCTCTTCCTGAATCAGTCTGCCTGACCTTGAAACGCAATTCCTTTTTTTTATTCAACGATGAATGATAAGAGTGAGAATTTCTTGTTTGACAAAGAGCATGGCGAAGAGTATGGCGAAGAGTATGACGAAGAGTATGACGAAGAGTATGGCGAAGAAAATAACGACGACTTTGATGAATATCACTCATTCAACCAGGAAGTCAGAAAATCTAGACGAAGACCCTACTTTCAACGAGAATAGGTGCGAATTCGAGACTGACGATGATTACAGCGGGTTTTCTGGAAGGCGATCGCCTGTAAGTCTATACCTTTGACTCTTAGTTGCTAGTTAATACTTGATATCCCTTGCTTCGAGCCTTTTTACTGACTTCTTCCGTACGCGTCAATGCTTCTGTAGTCAGAGAGCCTCATCGACCGACGCGCCCAGCGGCAAGCGCAGGCGAAGTGTGATATATGGCGTCGTGGTCAGGACAGACACGAACAAGAGCAAGTTGATGTTTACCAAAGCAACGATATTGACCATTCTGGCGGAGAATACAATGTCTTGGGCGTGAAGACGCGCGAAGGGCGTTCAAGGTCTATGTTCGAGGAAGTGCAAACACGCCAGTTGCCCCAAGTGACTTCAAGAAGCGAAGCCAGCGTCGCCGCCAGTAGCATCAGGTCTGCCCAAGCCAAACGAGGATATCCTAAGACTCCTTCTCCTCCAACAAATCAGGGACTGCCTATTCAACCTGCCAGACCTAGGTCATTCCTACGTTCAATCTCAGCATCCCATGTTCTTGGCTCACCCTCTACATCCACATTATGCGCTCCGCGACAATCCCCACTACCACCGCTACAAAGGGCCGAGAGCTTTCATTATTATCGCAGTCCACAGCCTAGGTCTTATCTCCTCAGTTACTTCATCGTACTCTGGACGGCATAGAGATATGCATGGCGTTCAGCCCAAGTCGCCCATCTCCCTGCACCAGACCTCTCGGGCATCTTCATCGTCCTCCTCTTTTCGTGGACTTCCTCAGATCTCACGAGATTTAGCCTATCCTTTATCTTTTGACAACCCATAAGCAACCCTGCTTGCAGCTGAAGCTGAAGCTTTGGAGCAGCGTCGACCTAACCTACGTACCAGTCATGGAGCATCGGAGACATGGTACACGCTATATGAATCGCTTGAACTTGGCGTTTTACCTTCGCCCGAACGGTGCGACGACGCGCCCGCCTCACAAAAGCCTTTGGCACAAGTCCCAATACATAAGTCCATACGCAAGTCTAGTATCCTTGGACATTTCTATAATACAGATGCATCTGGCTTCTTCGAATGCCAGGTTAAGAACAGTCTCGGGGTAAAGTGTGGCATAAAGTACAAGAAGTTAGGGGCGGCAGATCACGAAAAAACCATCTCCTCAAAAACCACTCCACAATATATGAAGCTGTGCAGGAATTTCGCCTCTATCAAGGCATGGTCCAGAATGTCAAGTCGTCGAAAGATCAAGATGATGATGATGATGAGCCCCCTAGACCACAGGGGAACTTCGAAGTGGCTAGAGAGGGATTTGTTCTTACGACTATGAAGAGGCCACTTCCGTATGAACAACAGTTCTTCGAGAAATTACTTTTAAGGCTTATCGCCGACAACGGAGCGACCTTCAAAATAATTGGCTCGGATTCTTTCAAGGCAATATGTTTGCAACTTAATGCATTATACGTAATTCCAAGCACAGACGCTATCCAATCAAACATGGATTTAAGTGTAATGCATATGTGGAGGCAAATCGAGATACATCACTGATCGTAAAATTCAAGGCGCAATCACAGCGGATAGTTGGACAAGCGGTGATCAAAGGAAGTTCTTTGGAGTAACATTTCACTTTCTAACACATGACTTTCAGCCGGCTTCAGTTGTGATTGGCATGGAACGAGTCCAAGGCCCTCAATCGGCAGAAGTCCTATTGGAAAAGCTTGGTAAGAATATCATAGCTTTAGCTCTGTCGGTTTACTGCCTGTTTGAGACCTATGTAAATAACACTTTTAATCCTGGAATTTGTTCTATAGAACGTGTAGTCGCAAGATGGAATTTGGAAGGGCATTTGATCTGTGCAACAACGGATCAAGGGTCGAACATAAAAAGAGCCATACAGCTTTATAATCTAAAGAAGAGTATTACCTGGCTTCCCTGTTTTTCCCATGTAATACAGCTGTGTATCAATAAGGCATTGGAACGAAGTTCTGGAGCTAAGGCGGTGATGGAAAAATGCCAAAAGATCTCAACCTTCTTCAGAAGCTCCAGTCTTGCTATGGATCTGCTTAACAATCAGCGTAGCAAAAACATTGGTCAACTGCTTACAACGAATGTCACGCGATGGAACTCAAAATTCAACATGGCAGCAAGGGTGCTTGAAGTTTCAGAAGCAATTACAGCGGTCTATCAATTAATGAGGGCAGGATCCAAAGACGAAAAGCTCAAGGCTGCGGAGCTCGGGCGGCACCTCCTTGTCGAGGGAGAGATCGAGACCCTGCAGGAGATTATCACGCTCTTGGAGCCGGCTGCCAAGCTTACACACTGGGCAGGCGCACATGATAACCCGACCATTTCGCAAATCTATTTGAGGGTCTACACCATGCTCCCGGCGCTTACAACATTCCGAACGGAAGAGACGAGAGAGTTATGGCAAAGCCTGGACGAACAGATCAAAAAATCGTGGCCTCTCCAGGACATTCCAGATACCGTGCTCATTTCTATATTCCTGAACCCTGCTTGCGCAGCACTCGATATCTTAAAGGATACGATGCATGCTAGTGGGGAAAGTCTGTTTATAAAAGCAAAAAAACTCTGCAGCGAAGCCTTTAAGATATTCAAAGAGAATAATACAGTGACAAAAAATCCATTGCAAACGAGTGATTATCAGATACTCTACTTCTCTTCGAATTTTGCGGTAGAGCTCTACGCTTCATCGGTACGCTTGCCGGACTACAATCACGATCGCTTTAAAGATAAGCCTCAGGACTATTGGAGGCCATATGGCATCGATGAAAATATCTCAGTTGAGGAACTTGCCCACTTCGCGCGCTCGTACCTCTGTATCCAGTCCACATCAACTGAGTCTGAGCGTTTGTTCAGTAAGGCAGGGCTAGTCCTCTCTCCACTTAGGACCAACCTCAGTGATCGAAATGTGCGCAACATCATTTTTAGTCACAGCTTTGAGAAGATTCGGACTTTGTTAGACTTACAATGAAATAAATTAAGCGTTTTTATCTACACTGCGCGTCAACAGTGTTGTATTTTGTCCACTACTTGTGAAAGTAGTATAAAGTGATTGGCAATATTAAGTTTTAGCTTTATTCTGAAAGATGCGTCTATATTTTGGACTCCATCAATGAAACTCGCTATATTTTAATGCTCAGACGGAGGCCCAGGCCGTTGTGATGACATAAGGACATCTTCCTTTGACTTTGCAGCTTTTTTTCTGATTACTCATCGTAATGTGGTAATTCTTCATCTATTAATTCTCGAAGCTAATATCTAGAGGATTTACAAACCACTCATCAATTTCAAAGAATGTATTGATCAAGCAGATGTCGGGCGCGTTTCACCCCTTTCTTTATGAGAGCGTTCTTGAGAGAAGACAAGTCAACTAATAGGACATTGGATAGGCCAGAGAGCAACTTTAACATGGCATTATGTTTAAATTTTACTTTGATATCCCGATGAGAATATGCTGTATCGCCATGCCGGTTGAAGAAATAAATGATAAAAAGCTTTTTCTCATACCATTTTTAATGACTTACACTTAACATCTGCCTCAAGAATAAAGTATATATTCCACGGAGTGACAACCATGGCGCCTGAGGGATAGGGACTTCAGCATTGCTAAGCCAGGGCAAGACTTCTTTTACTAAGCCCAAAAAGAGTGGCAAGAGAAGAATCTAGTACAATCGTATCAGTGTTACTTGGCGTCACAGACGATGATTATTGGTCTTTAAGATCTTTGAGATATAGAGATATAGAAGCCTAGCTATGGAAGTAGAAGTTGGCTTTGACTATATATAGTCAACATTAGTAATAAAGAGAAAGCAGAGGCAGAGATGCCGAGCATTTACTGAATTATTAAAGTACATGGCCGCTTTGTGAGACAAGATCAGACAAATAAAGTTAATCTGTCAACTGTTCGTGGTATTAAGCGTGTTTATAGGGATGATGCAGAAGGTTCTCTGAGAATTGAATGAGAATGAGAATGACAATGGCAATGGTAATGGTAATGGCAATGGTAATGGTAATGGCAATGGTAATGGTAGTGCGAAAAGAGAAGAAGCCTGTTATGCATGCAAATGATTGTGGATTTTTTTAAGCCTGTATGCTTTTTCTTCAGGTTGGCGCTGTTTGTGCAATAGGTTTGTGCTGTTTTCAGAACAGGTTCGCGCTGTTTTAGAAAAGGTTTGTGCTGTTTCAGAACAGGTTCATGCTGTTTCACAACAGGTTCATGCTGTTTCAGAACAGGTTCGCGCTGTTTGGGCAATCAGCTTGTGCTGTATGGGCAATCAGCTTGTGCTGTATGGGCAATCAGCTTGTGCTGTATGGGCAATCAGCTTGTGCTGTATGGGCAATAGGTTTGTGCTCGTTTTCTTCCAGCACGTGCTGGAAACCAAAACATCACGCCCTTTCTCTTCAGGCTCAGATCTCTGGGTTAAGTTACGCCACATGGACATTTCGGAGGTGTGTCCCAAAAGAGGAAATAGGATGAACAGTCACTTGTGCTAATCTTGTAAACAACACTAGGCACAGTCACTAGATATCATGTACTACTTTGTAGGAAGCAGATCTCCTGAAAAAGCCCATTCTTCTCTCACGGCTCCAACTATTTTTTTTTTTTTTTTTTTTTTCTTTCTCTCTTCTCCTCTTTGGTACTTTTCTATTATAACACAACAATGAGTGCCTCGACTGCTGCTGCTGCTTCCAGGACTAACTCTCTTCTTCCTGCTATGCTCCCCTCTACCTCTGCAACCACTAACACCATCAGTCAACAGTTACAGCAAAAGAACCCTTTCGGTCGTAACAACAACAGCTCTTCAGAAAATGATAACAACAACACCAAGGTGCCTGAGCCAACCTTGGTCTCAACTCCCGTTGCTACTGCCACATCAGCTCAAAAGAAAATCGCTGGTGCTCAGTTCTCATGGGTCCACTTTTTGGCCGGAGGGTAAGTGTGGATCATCAAAAACCACGGATATATATATATATATTTTTTTTTTTTTCGTGTATACGCAGGAAGCATTTGTTAAAAAAAAAAAAAAAAAAAAAAAAAAAAAAGAAGAAGACAAAAGAAAAGAAAAGAAAAGAACCACCACCACCACCTCGAAGAAAACAGAGCTGACTTTCTGTATTTTCTTTTTAACTTTCTATTTTAGAACGGGCGGCATGGCTGGAGCGCTAGTAACCTCGCCTCTCGATGTGGTCAAGACTAGACTCCAGGTATGGTTAACAAAAGCAAAAAAAGGAAGACGTCATAATGCGGTCTCTCTCATTACGTCCAAAAGATCCACAGACCAGCTTCCCTTTATTATTACGCAATTACCATTTGTTTTGATATGCACGGATACAGAGAAGTTATAGCGATCACTGATTCCTTTTCTTCCTTTATCCCTTAGTCCTCCTTATACCAGTCATCAAAGAGCATGTCCTCTACGACAGTAGCCAGGTCGGGAGTTTATTCTGTCCTTGGACATATCAAAGATACTTGTCTTTTGCTTGGGTAAATTTTTTTTTTTTTTTTTTTTTTTTTTTTAGTGTGGGGCCTTGATGACATCAGGATCTAGAGATTTGTTGATCGCGAGAGTCTAATTTTATGTTTGATGAATTATATGTTAAAATAGACATATCTATTCCAAAGAGGGTCCCCGTGCGCTCTACAAGGGGTTAGGACCCAATCTCGTCGGAGTTATCCCAGCAAGGTAGCTACTACTAACTTCATTTAGCTTGATGCTCGTATGATTGGTGTCCTAAAGACTAATATCTCCTCCTCCTGCTATATTTTTCTATAGGGCTATCAACTTTGCGGCGTATGGTAACGGCAAAAAGTTCTACACTGATTTGAACAACGGCAAGGAGACGACATTTGTTCACCTCTCATCAGCGATCTCAGCTGGTATCATTACAGCAACTGCCACCAATCCCATTTGGCTTGTCAAAACTAGGATGCAACTTCAGGTCGAGGGAGTACGGCAATACAAAAACAGCGTGGATTGTATCTACCAAATTCTCAAGAACGAAGGTATCCGTGGTATGTACCGTGGGTTGAGCGCATCATACCTGGGTGTCGCCGAAGGAACGATCCAGTGGATGATCTATGAGCAGCTGAAGAAGACTCTGGCAGAAAGACGCAAAGTCACTAGCTTAAGCAGCACTACTGGTACAAGATTTGTCATTGGTGGCAAGGATATTGAAGAATGGATCGACTATTTGGGCGCTGCTGGAGCAGCAAAGTTTGTTGCTTCGGCTATGACATACCCACACGAAGTTCTCCGTACACGACTGCGGCAGGTTCCGGTGGGAAATGAGCCACCCAAATACACTGGACTGAAACAGACATTCCAGCTGGTACTCAAAGAGGAAGGCGTTGCAGCCTTATATGGCGGTCTTACTGCGCACATGATGCGTGTTGTCCCTAATGCAGCAATCATGTTCTTCTGTTACGAGGCTATCATGCATCGCTTTGGATAAGTGTTGTCGCCGATTAACTATCAACAAGATGGTCCTGCTTCTTTGTTAGTTTATGCATCATATTTCCCTCCCCCTTTTTCTTGCATTGTTGTTTATAGGATTAGAAGGACGCGCACATCTCATGCCTTTTCAGTTTTCATTTTTTTTTTTTTTTTTTTTTTTTATAGTTCATTCATATTCTTGTATACTAAATCTAGTCAGCCTTCCTTCATTAACGTCCTCATGGTCCATTGATATATTATCTCCATTAAAAGCATCTTGTTATTTGTTTCACATACCTCAATTATGTCGATTCGTCTGGTAAACTGTTCGACTTTTCTATTCGAGATATTAACATGAATGGGGCTTCCCTTGGGGAGAGCCTATGTCAATTGCTCTTGCACTGTTTGTATAAAACAATGCCATGGCTACTCAAACTTTAATTCTATCTCACATTAGGGGAGCTGTGCATTTAGATATTATAAAGTTGGATCTGAATGTATACGTTAGCCTTTTTTTTTATCTATTTATTTATTTATTTTATGTTTTAATACATTCATTATGGCGTCGAGAAGGCCGATTATGGATGAGGTTTCTTTCGAGGGTATAGTCTCAATCCATCTCGTACAATTTCCAGAACTTCATTTTTTGAAACACGCCTCTGATCACCCGTATCACGATCTCGGATGGTCACAGTTTGGTCATTGAGCGTATCAAAATCCACGGTGATACACCAAGGGGTTCCGATTTCATCCATACGGTAGTATCGCTTGCCAATCGTTGTATTCTGGGTCTCCATTGCTACGTTCACCTGGAGCTCTTGGCGAAGCTGGCCACTGATATCAGAACAAATATCCACCAGATCTTTGTTATTGGAAACCAAAGGCATTACTGCTACCTTGATGGGTGCTAGACGAGGATGCAGTTTCATGATAGTTCGGATCCCTTTACTACTATTGTTGAGATCAATGCTCTTCTTTGTATTATTGTTGCTATCACTGTTGGCCTCATCCTCATTTCCCAGCACCACTGCTCGCCCGTGCTCATCTACAACCTCCATTGCATCCAACATCAATGCCAACATAGCTCTATTCAATCCACATGACGACTCGACGACATGTGGTGTAAATCTCTCGCGCTCCAATATCTCTACGCTTGTCTCTTTGATCCCTGTGGCCTTCTCACGTGCCTGTCTTTCTTGCATCAGGACAGCATCTGTGTATTGTAGCTTAATACCAGTAGCTTCTGTATGTTTACTCAAATCAAAATCGCCTCGATTCGCAATACCTTCGACCTCTCCCCAACCCCATGGGAACCGATACTCAACATCAATGCATCCTCTTGAATAATGAGCCAGCTCATCTTGTGAATGCGCTCTTTCCCGGATACGGTCATGGTGACGTGCGTAGGTCCTCCACCAATCCATCCTGAATTTCCTCCAGGCTGTAAATTGCTCCTGAGCCTGCCAAGGAGCCACAAAATACTCTAGCTCCATCTGTTCAAATTCAGGTGTCCTGAAAATAGCATGCTCCAAACGGATTTCGTTCCTAAAGGATTTCCCGATCTGAGCAATCCCAAAAGGGATCTTGAGATGTGGATGGGATCGTTGAACAGTCATATAATTAATGAAGACACCCTGTGCCGTTTCTGGGCGAAGATAGGTCAGAGAAGGGTACAGGGTTTTATCTACGAGTTGACGGGTAGTCGACAAATCCGCTGATGATGGAGTTTTTTGGGCGTCAAGAGTAGTAGTGATAACCTTGTCAATGGGGTCGATAGGATCGAGATATGTCTTGAACATGAGGTTAAATGGACGTGATTCAGTAAGGAAAGGGGAATTAGAGTTGGGATCAACATATCCATGATAGGGGATCTGGAGTGAAGTATCCTGCTCTGGTGAAGGTGATGGTAGTGAATTAGAATCGAAGGCAACAGTAGTAACAGCTGTATCCCTTTTGAGGACGATTGTATTCTTCTCCATGCGCTCTACTTCTAGAAGGATTTCCTTGTCCTTCCGAGTAACCATGGCGCCTTTTGCAAACTGGGACCTAATGTCATGTTCCCACAATTTAGCTGTCTTCTTGTCAGGTGCTGTGATAGGGATCCTACCCTGGTCATCTAATTTGATCTGTGGCGCCTTATCAGGACGAAACCGCTCCTTGGATAACTTTGAATCAACCATCTCGTCTGTGAACTGATCGACGTGTCCTGATGTCTTGAGGACCGCCGGAGGAGTAATGATGGCAGTATCGATCCCGACGACATCAGATCGCTGATAAACCATTGAATTCCACCATTCCTGTGAGACGCTCCGTTTTAGCTCGACACCGAGGGGGCCATAGTCATATGCACCCCGAAGTCCACCGTGAATTTCTGCAGACTGGAAGAGAAACCCTCTGCGTTTGCAGAGGTCGAGCAAATGGCGCATAGCCGACATTGGTCTTCAAAAGGGAATGGGACTGACAGAAAAACGAAGAATGAGTAAGAAAAGGAAAAAAGGAAGAATTCAACCTCATGTCAACGCACCCGTTCCTGACCTGGAGCTTTCACGACAAACTGTTCGAAAAAACAAGAAAAAAAGCCACATTGCTATTGTTCTTCAGAATAGACTTTTCTCTCTCCATTATTACGTTTCATTCTTCTCGTTCTTGAAACCATCACAACTGACCCCCAGCGGAAGTATAAAAACGCAACTCAGTGTTATATATACCCTTATTCCCTTACCTCTTTCTCCCTTCCTCTCTCTCTCTCTCTTTCGACCATGTCCGGACTCCAGTTTGGATTGAACATCAAGAAGAAAGGAACTATCCTTGCTAAACCAAAACCTGCTGCAAGTCGACCAGTAGGAGGGCGTAGTGCTTTCGACAGTGGCAGTTCTGATGAAGATAATCTGGATAAGGATAATGACGATAATGACAATACTGATCAGAAGCAAAATTTAAAAAGAGGTCCTATATCCTCTACATCTTCAGTCAACAAAACTCTTCGTCCCTATGCTACTGCCACGCTTCAGTCAACAGCTGTAATTGAACAGCAAAACGCAGCGCTAGCTGAGGATGCGACTGTGTTTGACTATGATGGCGTCTATGATCAACTCAAGGCTGGTGAGCGTGCACGAGAGCTCGCTCGCAAAAAAGATTCTGCAGAACGAAAACCCAAATATGTTGCTGCACTGCTACAAGCGGCCGAGACTCGCAAACGGGATCGACAAATCGCAGAAGAGAAACGATTGGAACGTGAAAGAGAAAAAGAAGGAGAGAAATTTAAGGACAAGGAGATGTTTATCACGCCAGCCTATAAGGCTCAGAAGGAAGCCATGAGGCTTGCAGAAGAAGAAGATCGAAAGAGGGAGGAGATGTTGGCCAAGGATAAAGATGGATCATTGATGCAAGGATTTTACCGTGCGTTGTTGAACGAACGTACAAGGGCTCGACCGACTGAAACTGACATTACGATTGAAGGTGTTTCGTCAGAAGATATTAAAGCATTAGAAGAAGAGAAGCGACTTAAAGAAAAGGAAGACCGCGAGCGTGCAAGGGAAGCTCAAGAGCAAGGTCTGAATGTAACCCTGAATGAAGATGGACAGATTGTTGACAAACGTGAGTTGCTTAAAGGTGGGCTCAACATTATCAAGAAAAGTCAGCCCTCAGCTTCACAAAACGACTTACGTCTCAACAAACCCTCTTCAAGCTATGACCGTGATCGTGCATATGCTGCCTACAAAGACGCTAAATATGGCTCATCATCATTCTCACTTCAAGGGAAAGGTGAGCATGGGAATATATCCAAAGATCAGCGCACGAGGATGACAGAAAAGATCGAGCAACAGCTTTTGGAACAGCAGAAACAACAAGAAGAAGAAGAGAAGAAGAGACAAGAATCTATTCGTGAAGCACTCAAGCGGAAAAACCAAGATGATCAGGTCATGGATGCCAAAGCTCGTTACCTGGCAAGAAAGGCAGCAGCAGCCGCAGGAAAAGCAGGTTCATAGTAAAAGATTAAAAATTAATAAACTGTATAATATCATCTTTCATAAAAGATCTAAAGTGAAAGGTAAATGTACTCATTACGGTGACTAGGAAGAATGTAAATGCCAGAATTTCTGCTTCTTTTTGTTGTTGCTGTTGCCATACTCAGACCTTTAACTCGCAATCTGGCAATAATGCGTGTACTTGGGCTACAAATCCAGTCAACACAGGAGCAGTGACCAGAGATCCCTCGATCTTCAGTGTTTTGAGCGCTACCGATTTCATTTTTTCATCGCCACTATAAGATGTAGGTTGAACGCTTGCACAGTATGAAAGACATTCAAGCAAAAGTTCTGCTTGCCGATCTGAAAAATTGGTTCCCTCAAGAATAAGTGTCTCCACTGTGTTGAAACGAAGGTTCCGTATGAGCACAATCCAGTCATCTTTAAGAATATCGAGGTATCCAAGCTTAATAGACTTCAAATGAGGTGATGATAACGGGATTTGGAGCCATTGCACATGTGGAGGGTTGATTTGGCAATGTAGTATCTTGCCATATGTGTCTGCTTCGGGCTGTATCTCTAGCTCCTCAAGCATTGGCATGGTCACTCCGTTCAAAAGGGAGGATTTTGCAGCCACTGGAAAAGCCGCCGTATTGTTGCCATAACTTCTGCCAGCCACTGTGTAAGTCCTAGTTAGCGACACTGTGGCTGCCTGTTGAGCAATTGACGCAGCAGATGAAAGACTAAACAAAAGCTGTGGCAATCCATACATGCGCAACTGCAGTCGTGTAATCTGAGGGCTAATTCGGATAATAAACCGAGCAAGAGCTTCCATTGCCACTACACGATATTGATCCTGAGTGACCCAAATGATGATATCCAGCCAGGAAAGCGTCGCTAATGAATGCTCTATCACTCTGGCAAACAATTCTAACGTTTCCTTGTCGAGCGTCGAGACATTGGCATGGATTTTCTGTAACGCCGATCCTCTAATCCTCAATGCCTCCTCAAGCCCCTTCACTAGCCCATGTGTAAGCTTTGTTCCAGGTGGGATCCTCTTTAACGCCCAACCAAACGCTCGCATAAGCTCTTCTCTCCCCTTCGGTTCATTCGCTAGTAAACTGAGAAGAGTTGCCTTGGGGTCATGAGGATCTGCTGTCGTGAGTTTGTTACGTCGTTCTGTATCTTGTATTTCTACAAGACGTAACGACAAGTGGTTTTCACAGACTGAAAGGATAGCCTGAAAGGTCGGAGCCATGAATTGTACTGAACATCGCAATCCAATTTCATGAAGACATTTGTTCGTATGAATGATTCTCTCGAGACTAGATCTCTCTTCGTTCAGATTAAACTCATGATATAACACTAGCTTGTGTACATGACCAGAGAAAAGTAATTGCGTATAGGGCCGCTTGTTGGTCGTGATCGCCATAGACAAAATTTGTGCCTGGGGTTGGGCAATCTTGATGTCAACTTGCTCCTGTACATCTGCCTGACTTACACTCAACTCTAGGTATTGGAGATGTCGAAACTTTACTGTCGCATTTTTGACCAGTTCATACATCGCATCCACGTCTGTACACTGTAACCTTAAATCCGTTAGGCGAGGGCTATGTCGCAAAAAGTCTTCTATCTGATGTTGTTCTGCTTTCCAATTCTCTATTGCACCTTGGATAGACAAAACGCGGAGCTGAATGGTAGACGACATGGCTTTTGCAACTATGGAGGCATTCTTGGATATCCTGCTCCAGAAACTGTCGCACCGTGCTAAATGAAAAATTTGCAACTTTGTGTTGGCCATCATCTGGATGACGGGATCGTATCTCCTATTCCGGTTGAAAAGATCCCGGGCGGGCCCTTGTGTACCGCAGAAGTCGAGTCTGAGGCTAACGATATTGGTCTTTCGAACAGTGTCCTTCAAGTGTCTTAAATCTTCAAGTGACGATTCCCAATCCAGAACAAGATTGAGTTCCTGAATAAACTTTGCTCTTTCCAGCGCTTCATAAAATTGTTTCGCAACTGTGCTCGAGGTCAGGCGAATAGAAACTTTACCAGCTATCTCTTCAAACGTTCCATTGTTTAGAGCAACGGCCCCTCGAAATTGCTCAATGGCTGATTCACGATAATTTTCACGATAATGATCCAGACATACCCATTTGGCATGACCCTCACTCGTAACAACCCTGTATAGGTTTCCTAACACCTTGCCTTCGTCCTTGATTTTCAAAAACGTGCTAAGGTGCCGCAAGTCCGCGCCTTCCAGAGCTTCGAGATCTTGGATCGGATCCTGACCTGAATCCCATGAGCTATTGGGTTTAGGATCTGGATCGAACTCCCTGATAGTTTTGTCAATGTCATCAAGGCTGGCAGCAACTGCGCCGCAGTTTTGCGCAAGAGATTCGAGGTACTTGATAGCATAGTCTACTTTTGGTTCCAAGTTTTGCTGCGTATATTCTAGTCCACCTTGAAGCCTATCAATACTCTCTGCTAATCTCATGCTGGCTAGTGGTGGAACAACAATTCCTGCTGCTACAACTCCATATTTGAGCATTTGTAATAATGTGAGGATGTGGGTGCCATATCTAAGAAAAAACTCGCTGGGACGGTCAAGGTCATATCCTTCGTGCATTGCCACATGTATATGATGTATTGGGGTTCTCGATCCACCATTTCCTGTAAAGGAGTCTAAGCTCTTGTCACTGCTATTGCTATTACTATCCCGAGTCGATGCTCCGTATGGGGTGGAGTTAGGCGACGGCTTTGAAGATACAGTATGTTGTTGTGATGGCATTGTGTGCTCTCCACATTCACATAAGAAGTAGAGCCTGAATTGACTAGTGAAAGGGCTCAACAGGGCATCTCTTCGTCGAGTCTCCTTGGGGAGGACGATGAATAGCCTTGGGATTGAGAACTCATGTAATTCGTACGTTTGTGTCAAGACAGCCTGTACTCGACTCTGGATAACAGAGAGTCGATCTAGTGCCTGTTGCTGCATTGATATCATCTTCTGCTGCATTTCGGCTGCAGTTCGTTGCAATTCTATCATTTGTAGCTGGAGTTCTTGGTTTCGAGCCATCTCTGCTTGTAAGTTGAGAAATGCATCCCGGATCTCCTGCTTGATCGATTCTGCCTGATGCATCTGTCCTGATTTAATAGATTGCTCAAAGTGGCCAAAGAGTTGCGTGGATGTCTGGAGAGTGAACTGGATGCGAGGAACGAGTTGACTGGTGGTAGGAGTAGTTGGTCTAGCAGATGCTAGGTGCTCTGGGCCATCAGGTGCTCTGGAAGCACTAGGATACCTTGAGAGGCTACTAGGTACTTTCACGAGCGAGCTGGTGAGTTCTGGTTGAGCATCTATGTTTCCTGACTCTATCGCTGCGTATGGGCTAGGGTGATCAGTAGAAAGAGCACTAAACCCTTGTGCAAGTGACGTATCCAGATAGATACCAGGACTTGGGAGGCTACCCTCCTTGGATCCATATGGTGAATGTGTGGATAGAGAACTGATTGTGCTACTGACGTTCTGTTGTAATGGTGATTCCTGTCTAGTCTGTCCAACTTGTCCATCATCATTAGGGAGGATAACATCCAGGACAATACCCGGGTGATACCTAATACACCAGGGCTCAATTCTTGAAGATTGTAGAGAGTGAAAATCGGATTAGTACATGTACATGATGATAAAAGAAAAAAAGGGGTATCAAAGCGCACTGCCTCATACCCATTTACCTCTTCCGTTTGGAATTCCTGGCAAAGGAAATGGCAATATCCCCATTTTTAATGCTTTGGACGCCAGGAAATTGATCCTGAATGTCTTCCCAGAACACAAGCTTGAGCCCTGTCTCCTCATCTTGTGAAGCCTCGATCCGTATAATTGGACCATCCGGTAGAGCTCTGAAGGACTGGTACTCCACCTGATCCATTACCCTACTCTTCTCTCTTTTGTGTTTTTCACTCTTATTTGATTAGGTTTATATCTTAAATCAGCGAAATGTTGTTTTACCGACAAGTCCTTATTTCGATGGAAAGTTGGTTTATAATTAAAAGTGAAGGCAAGAAGGTAAAAGATACCGGAGAAAGAATGGGGTCAAGTGAGGGTTTTAAAGGAAAGTTATGAGGGGAGAGAAAGATGGAAATTTTTATTGACAGTCTATTGGGAAAGTAAGATGGACCTGCACATGACTTTATTGATTTAGATATTTTATTTACATAGAAATAAGCTAAGAATCACTTAAGGGCTGTGTACTCAAAGACCGTAGCAGACGCCTTGTCCTTCTCTTCCGCTGAAAAACAATGACAGCGTCTTGTTGAGCTATGCTGAGTACTACTAGATTTTTAACCCTTGCAGGAGTTGTGGTAGCAGTGGCAGTAGTGGTAATCACGGCGGCTGTAGCAGAATTGTTAAGCTTTTTTTCTTCTTGTTCTAGTCTTTGACGATGGCTGGTTGTCATTTCTGTTGCAGAATTATCATCGTCCCTTGAAGATCCGCTATCGATCCTTCTACAACACCTACTGTTGCAAGGCTGAACTATCGTAAACCTCCCGATTTTGGTACCCGGAACAAATCTAGGATTAATGTTGCTTGGCCGTGCAAGGCTGATGGAAGGAGATGATCGCTGCTGGGGAATCGTTGATGGCTCCATAGATAATGTAAAGAAGACGGGGCGGTTTAGAAAAGCTTATAAGAAGGGTGATTGAGAATGAATTAAACGTGTTTGAAACCGAGAAAAAGCGGAGTGGAGAGCAATGATAGATGCTTTTATACTTGAATCGGTGGCGTCAAATAGGCCAATGAATTTGCCGCTTTTGGACCAGGGGCTCTCAGTTGACCAGAAGTGACCGCAGTTAAAAAATCCTGTGGCAAAAGGATAGACATACCATAAGCTGCCCTTAAATCTTTAAATATAGAAAGTGATCGATTGTGCATGGCCTTCACCCACTCTATTTTGTCGTAATATGATTAGGTGTGGTTGGATAATATTTTTGTAGTTACTTTTTAAATTGTAAAGCAGTGAACTAAAATAGGATACGAGGTTGCTCGCGAAGATCAAATGACCATTGCCAGCTGGATGCTTTGTCAATATCTCCGGTCTATGAGAACCTCAATAGATTGGTTCTGTAGGGATCAGAGCTTCACTTGAGTGCAGCTATCGCTGGGCAGAGCCTTATTATGAAGATATACCGTTTCGAGAATCAGAGATGAGATTAAAGTAGGTATTATTACATTAAATATGTCAAGACTAAATTAATACATGACGCTACTAATGATGAAGCTATATCGTCAATAGTTCCAATGTCAGATGGATGATGAGTATCATGGCCTTACTGAAGACGCTGACTGGGTCGTACTTGATCCTTCTAATACACCCCCATCTGCCTGCGGTGCCTCACCATATGTTCCTGGCGATTGATATTGAGGCTGTGGTTGTTGTTGTTGTCGTTGACGAGCCTCCATTTGCTGATTATAATCTCGCCATTGCCTAGCCACCACTTTCTCGTTGTATACTGGCCCCTCAAGTCTAGAGAGCCTAGTCGGTATCATACATTTCCAACCCTTCCCCATCGCCTGTTCCCAGTTTCCTTTAAACCCAATATCGTACAGTCGTTCATTGCCTTGGTTAACCTCGCCTTCGCTGTCTGTCCATCCTTTACGTAGGCAAGGGAAAACTCCTTCGTCACGAGGGGTGCTGTGATCTTCAATGGTTGTCCTGTTTAGGAGGATAAGGCGGACGTGAGTGAGGGTGAAGACAATAAGAGTGAATCCAAATATCCCAGCAACGATCATTCCGGCAATTTGGATCTGATGTGTCCATTCCTATTAGGTCGAAAAAATAAAAATAAAAATGAACGAATTAATTATCACTTGTCTATGCTTTTTTTTTTTAAAAAAAAAAAAAAAAAAAAAAAAGCCTACCTCTGTAGGGTATTGTTGATGGAGTGACGCTATAGCAACCAAAATGTAAATACAATGGATAGCTGTATATGCAATGAATAAGACAAAGAATTTATAGTTATCTTGACCAACACAATTCAGGACCCAGGGACAATGGCTGATAAAAAAAAACAATATATATCTAGGTCAGACATTTGCTTGATGGTACCTTCATTAATAGAACAAAAAAGCCAATAGAGCGTACTTACTGATCCATTCTCAACACACATCGTTTGCAGACTCGGCAATGGTGTGCTCGTTCAGGCTTGACTATTTAATATTTAATTTCCAATAAAAAAGAATTGAGCATGTTACGAAGTTTGAGTTGAAATCTCGTGTTCACATAGAGTCTATCTCTTACCATGCTGACATTTGCTACACCAGAGAGGATGGCCTTGTACAGAAGGATCTTCCGAAATGTGGATATATCCGGACTTATTCGCACTCTGTGCTCCAGGAATTAGCGCTCCAGATGACCTCAATGATTTGGATGATGATGCTGTTGCCATTGCTGTTGATGACGATGTGAGATCATCTCCAACCTTCATATGTGCTTCCTGTACTCGTTGAATGTGCGACTCTCCTTGATGCTGTGGTCCCTGTTCTACCTCTCTACGTATTTGCGTCTCTTCCTGTTCAGTATGTGTTTGTTGCTGAGACTGCTGAGGTTCTGTTTGAATAAACGTTTGTGGATGTTGAGTTCCTGGCTATTGGTGTTGCATTGGAAAATGCTGCCATTAGCTCATGTTTAAAATAAATTTGGTGGCACGGTCCGTACATTATGATATCATGTAATTTTATTTTAGTAAAGCACAGCTGTCGACTTTTACATACCTCTGCTGTGACTCGCCCAGGGTCAGTTAGAATGACCATAGCATAGGCCCAAAGCATCATTATAAATGTTATGTGGTAGATGACGAGGAGAACCGCTAAGCAGCAAAAGGTGAATAGATATACTTAGTTCCTTGTACATACTGCTATTATAATCTGAAGATACTAGCAGGTTTGAAAGTCAAGTAAGCAGTTCTGTTCATACCTCCAAGGACAGCCTTGTCAATTCGTATTAGCTTCACTTTTACATTAAAAATAAAACTTATTAATGCTTCTCCCTAACTGTTTAGGCCGAATTTTCTCCATACAAGTAGACTGTACATACCACATGTTATTATAACAAAAACATAGTAGCCAAATCCAATAAGTAGAAAATAAAAGAAAATGGGGAAAATGGTCACGACAAAGGGAAGGGGTTTCCCTGTGCGCGTGTGAGCCACTCGCATGGCGAAAGAGGGTTCGGAAAGAAGAGTGGGAGTAATGAGGTGAATAGGGTGTGGATGAATGGACGAGTAGAAATGAAGAGTGGAGGAAATGATGGGGGATGAAAGAGATGAATGAAGAGAGAAGGGGAGAGTAGGCGGTATCAACGAACCTATACAGCCCAATTATCATGTGGAGTGTTGTTTCAATTGATCGTCATTAATTCCAAAAAAAGAAAAGGGCAGATTTACATGGGAAAATTATATTTCTGTCTATCAAAGCTACAAATCGTCAAAGAATCCAGGATTGTTCTTGGCTGGCGGCTGTCTCTTCGGTCGCCTGTTATTGCTCTTCTTCTTGGGCGCATCTGAATCATCAGAATCAACATCCATATCACCATTAGGACCAGCCTCATCATCGTTATCACCATCCCTCTTATCTGAACTTTTACTTTCTTCGTTTTCATTCTCTTCCTCATCGTCATCCTCATCCATATCACTTGTCAGGTAACGCACATCCCAGAACCGGACCGTGTCATCATGAGAACTGCTTGCAAGATAAGTCTTATCGCTTGAAAGACGAATGCACTCAATTGGGAAGTCCTCATGTTCACCAACAATCCCTTGGAACTTGTTGGGTAGAATATCAATAATTCTAATAATAGTAAAAGAATGTCAAAAAATGTTAGTCTCGCTTCGGAGTCACTCGCATAAAAAACAAAAAAAGGAAAAATTCACATACCTAATGATTCCATCACTTGATCCTGTTGCTACTGTGTCTTCATCAATCTTACAAATTGTATCAATCGAATTTGGGTGTCCAAGGAATCGATCGGTACAATCACCCCATTCACCCCATGAATAAATATTTAGGACACCTTCCTGCGATCCAACTACAACTTTACGTCGATCCTTGACGATGCAGATCGAGAGTAATTCGTCATCCTGATTTGCAGACATGTCCAACATATTAGGTTTGCGAATATCGTAAATTGAAATGGTCCCTTGTCCACTAGACGCAACTAGAGTCTTAGAAGTTGAATCAAAATCAAAATCAGAAATAAAATCATCGTGTTCACTATATTGCATAGCTTCGGATCCTGTCCTGACGTCCCAAAGCTTGATGGTACCGGAGTCGTCTCCTGTTGCCAAGATATATTCTGTCAACAACTTGACCGTATTGATTGGGTGACTATAGTTTTTTATATTGATAAAAAAAAGTGAGCCAAAATTATTATATTTGCAATTAAATGCTTTCAAATAAACAAAACTTCAGTAAACATACTCGTGTGCTTCAGGCTTCTTGATTAATACATTGCCAGTATTGACATCCAATGCACCAATAGATCCATCCTTAGAAACTGTAAAAAGACCTATATCAAAGAGATCAATATAGTCTTTTCCGTGTTAGCTGGTGGAGAGCTGGAGCTTTTTTTGTTGTTGTTGTTTGCCTTTGAAAGGGAGTTAAAATTTGATACATGCCTGTGCCGTCATGATTAAATGCAAGGCCTCGACAAGACTTTTTTGAGGGACGAACATTCCAGAGCGACTCATTATTACCAGCACCAGGGATATATTTAACACTATACGAATAGTAAAACATAGACTATCAATCCTCTACTCTACTCTTAAGGCTATACATATATCTTTTTAACTTGATCATCCTGTCATTCTTTACCAGTTGATGTGCCCGGTGATGAGTGCAGTGGCAATGATATTCTCTGTGGGATGGAATGCAAAATCAAAAACTGTGCTTTTGTAAGAGAGAGTATCAGGCTGAAGTGTTGAGGGCTACAGGAAATAAAATTTAAATGTTACACCATTGAATTTTGAGTTGTTCAAGTTAAGTAATTAGCAAGAGTATTTTTATTCTCCATTGCTTTAATGAGGTTGTGGATGTTTTACCATTTTGCTGTTAATGAAAGCGGCGATGAGGCAAAGTGATTGACAAGTAGAAGTATGGGCAATGTACTCCAAAAAAAACAATAGTGACTGCTTCAATAGACATTGTCTATATTCCAGGGTCTGAAACATCCTTTAACCTTCTGTTGAGTGAACATGCACACAAGCAATGCAATAAAGACCCAATCAAGAAGGATTGCCCTGTAGACCTGAAGGGATATTGCCAATCGAGGCAAAGGCCCATAGCAAACACTAGGACGAGCCTTTACAATGCTGTAATATCTCAGTTGTGTGTTTGTGTGGAGCAGCGAATGCCGGACCCCTTTCTAGTCACACACACGTGGGGCAGGAATAATAACACTAGATATAAGGAAGAGTCAGCAAACCATTTGTTTCAATTGCATGTCGCCATGCAGTAGAGCACACACAGAGATGAGCATGTCAGATGCGTTAACATGAATTGTAGACATGGCATCATTCATGCTGATTCAATGTCTGTCATCAAGCCACGTCCGACCTTAACCTTTTAAGCTTATTAGCTCAGCTAATAAGAATGAACTGACTGAATTAATATCATCTATTTCTTTTTATTTCCTTCTCATTCTTCATCTCCACAGACTTCATTTCCTTCTCATTCTTCATCTCCATAGACTTCATTTCCTTCTCACTCTTCATCTTTACATTGACTTCATCACCATTTTGTAATGCACAGCTACCATCAATATTTTTCCTTATGTCCAGCCCACTGAATACCATCCCCCAGACTCAGGCCACCACAATGAGCGACCCCGTCCAGAATAACACAGCACCTACTGATCACTATAAACCCAAACCTGTTGCCTACAAAGACTCGATCTCACACCCGATCAATGTTAGCTGGATCATCCCACCCTGGATTAGTGCTCTTCTACAACAGGATATGTCCGTTCCCGATAACCTGTTTATGATTCCATTTGCTCAGCGCGAAGCAGAAGCGATACACAAAATGGGGGCTTCAGAAGATGCCGTTGTACGAGCCAAGAAAATATACCCACATTGGCGGCCTAGAGGAAACTTGGGGCTTTCCTCCTGTCCTGGAAAGAAAGTCCGACTTGATGGCCCTGTTAATGGGCGAGCCAAGATTGTACGTGATTTAGACTTGGATTTTGATCGTCTACAGTCTCTGGGCTTCACGCGCGTTATCTGGTAAGCTAGGAGTGTAACAAGAGATCCGAAGGAATGATAGAGATAAAATATAGACAGTGAAGACTATTTCTATTCAATTTGTTGGGCCTGATCGTCTGTAGATAGTTGAGCAATGTATGATGCCAATCAAAGAAGCGTAGATGCACTGCTCGTGTGGGATAGGGGAAGGAGGTTACTATTAATGAGCACACGTCAACTATCCAAAAAAAAAAAAAAAAAAAAAAAAAAAAGGCCTCTTTGCACAGGAGATTAAGCGAGAATGAGGAGTGTTGGAAGGCCATGATCAGAGTTGATATGGGCTGCATTGTTTCCCGTTCTTCCTTATTTCTCTCCCTTATTTTAAGACCAATACCATGCTTTCTTTCTTAACCCTTTTTTGTCTGGGCAACTGGTTAGTTGCTTATTTGATGAAGAGCTTGAACTTCTTGGTTCGCCCTTTCCAAAGTATGTGGAAGCAGCGAATAGTCATGGTATCGATGTCATTAGGTAAGTAATTCATTATTTAAACTAGCCTAGTTATTCATAGCTTCAAAAACATATGCGCTACTTCTAAAGACTTTGATTGACTTGTTAGCGTGCGACTATGAGCATTTAACTTATTCTGTTGTATTGTACGAGTAGAATTCCGATGGTAGAAGGAAGTACACCTTACTCATTTGAAGAGATAGACCGCGTTCTTGACAAGATGGATGAAACCACACGAAATGGCCAAAATGTCCTTGCCCATTGTCGAGGTGGTAAGTTGCTGTCTCAATATAAAAGCGATGACGGAAATGACCTACCTCACTAGACTGTAATTTTTAAAGTTTGAATCTTGAATGTTCCCGTATGGAATAGCGGTTTTAATTAATCACTTTCAACTTCATGTCTATTATACTCTATGGTGGTATGGACAGGTGTTGGCCGAGCTGCTGTAGTTGCCTGCTGCTGGTTACTGAGGCTACGGTACTTTAGGGACCATCGTGAAGTCATTGAGTGGGTGAGAGCTCAACGATCACCAAAAGCCATCGAAACCAAGGAGCAAGCCCAATTTGTAGCTGGTTACCATCTTTGGACTTTAGGAGGCGAAAATCGTGCGTCAAGCCAGATATATGAGACTCAGATCAAGAGGCGGATAGATTGGAGTGAACCCAACATGGCCCAAGCAAGAAAGGAGGCGGTCCTCATGAATAACCTAGGTCAGCAGTCTATTTTGCCACAGGAGCAACGAACCGATCATCCACGTCAATATCAGCATCAACAGGAACAGCAGCAGCCAGCACAACTTCAACCGCATCATTCGCAGCATCAGCAGCAACAGCAGATACACGAACCATTATCTGATCATTTAAGGCCGACAGTAGAGCGTTCGCAGCCTTCCGCTGCGTCAATTTCCTCCACAGCAACAGTTTCGTCGCAGCAAGCAAGTCCAGTCTGCCCATCTTCATCACCAAACACAAACTCAATGCAAGGTGTGAATGGGATCAGCCAATTGGGCCGGTGACAGTTGGAAACTAAAAGAATGGGGGTGAATGCGTCCCGCCATGTCAATAAATGAGCAATATGTTAATAGAGCAAAAAACTTAAACAGGGGTTATTTTAGGACTGTTTACATGAACTTCATTTAACAAAAACAACACTCGCGTTCTCTTTTTCACAAAGCACTCCATCTCACCTTGACACAACTTTTCGCCTTTCTTAATGACTCGCGCATATCTACAACCAAAGGATGCGCTAGTGCTAAGCACTGTTACTCTCTTGTTTATCTATTTTGGTGTTGTGTTGTGGACAAACTATGCAATGTATGCAAGTCAAACAACATTTTATGAACAGATGCTGAAGAGAAACTGTAAAACAATTAACAATTCTGAAATCCTTTCTCGTAATTTCATGTTACTAGAATCATTCCTTACTGGACACCACTCTTCTGGGCAGCCGCACTTTCAGTCCCTCTGGTACCTTTTTTTTTTTTTTTTTTTTTTTTTTTTTAATTCCAGGAACTTTTTTTATGGTCGGTCGACAATTATTTCTCCTTTTTTTCTGACATTCCTTTCCATTATTGGTGGTTAGCATGGACTCAAAACGCGCTTACTTCCAACGCTCTACAACGTGCTCGAAAATGATATTATGGACATCGTTGCATCCGCAATTGGCACTGTTACTATATCCATCATCCAGGTAGATTTTCTTGGGCATTTTTGTTTTGTTTTGTTTTTTGTTGTTCTGTTTACCCCAACTAACATTAAAAAAAATAATACCTATTAGTTTTTCTTAGGGAGCTATATCGCTAGTGCCATCCAAACTGTTTTCCATAGTTACTGCTACATCGTTTATATGATTTGTGATGGGCGGCCACGTGGCTTGAACAAGGAGCAAGTTAAAAGATCATCTGGAGAAAACAACTCAGTCAAGGAAAAAGGGAATACTTGGGAGCAAGAAGGCATTCCCAATGTATACTATAAACGTACGCCTGCAAACGATATCGAGGAATCGCGATTAGACAGAGTAGATCCAGATGATTATGAACTTCGCCCTTCCTATCAAATTCTTGTAGATCAGGAGCCCGATAGATATATGCGTCCTGTCAATGGACCATCTTATACCAACCTTCTCAGGGCTGCACTTATTTATACGGTTCTGCAATTCACAACGCCCATGGAGCTATGGGAGCTTATAAAACTAAAATGGAGCGAGATACAGTTCGGTACGACAACACAATTGACGTGCCTGATCATGACGGTCATTGTGCATATGCAGTTTGTCTGCATGAAGCAGTTAGTACCCATAATTGAGCGCGTTTTCTACCCAAATTTATCGCTCGAAGAACGGCAGGAACGCTCTCTCCTTAATACTATTCCTAAGATGGTCAGGAAGACATTGCAGGAGAGTCTTAACTCCGTGCTTGCAACCATTATCGTTCTATCAACGTTATCAATATTGGGGATCCTAAGTACCATCCTGTCCATTGGCGTCGTACATGATGTCCAAGGGCTGTTGGTGCAGACACATCAAAGAGTTGCAATTATTAAAGAAGGCCAGCTACGACATGGATTCCACGACATGGGATATGAGTCAGTCGCGAAGAATTCTCTCACGAAACAACTGGATGGAGCCTTAGAACAGGCATATGAAGCTGCTATTAACCGGTTTGATCCGATCTTGAAAGAAGCATTCCCTGATCTCGCTTGGGGTGCTAATGACTGGGCCTATAACGTGGCAAATGTCGTGGTAAATCCGGACCAGGATTATCATTACTATTACATTCCTCGTCACAAGCAAAAACAGCACCAAATGGAGACACAGCAGGAGGAGCAACAGCATCAGCAGGAACAGCATCAGTCTGCTCCTGTAGACTCATGCAACGCTGAGGCCAAGCAAGAAATCAATTTGAATGGGTTAATACGAGACACTAATCAATCACCGCTTAACGACAACGTTGTATCTACATCGTTAAGCGCTGCCAAAGATAGCAATGTCGAAAAGGAGGACAAAAAGAAAGCGGATGAAGGATTTCAGACCAACTCAGAAGAAACAAAGGAAGGAAAAGAAGATGAAGCTGAGGTAGTCCGGGAAACCCCAGAGTTGTGGATCATCCCCTCATTGGATTCTCTTGGTTTTTCAGGAAGCGATGCCGACGTTTCCATAACAGGACTTCTACATTCGAATCAAAGAAAGAAGGCAATCAATATTTCGCAAGTCAAGTCTTTGCTGACTATTGTATCTGGATTCAGAGGATTCGATACTGAAAATATGCTCTGGGGATTCAATGCATTTAATGATCTTCTTTTCCGTTGCATTCTGTTTTTACTGGGCTTGTTAACGCTCACTGGCCTCAAAGTCTCGCCTTTACAGAGAATTGGATGGATGATTGATCAAGCTTTCGTCTCTCAAGTACCGAATTTTGATTCAACACGACTCCCCTCCTCTGCTTCGCCCGGACGTGCGATTGCTAAGAGCTTGGAGTTTGCCATTTCTGGAACATTTGTTGCAATGCTCAAGCTCTCGATTTATCATACTTTATTCACGCTCATATGGACCCGTTCTTTGGCCAACCAGGTCTTTCCTCTTATCGCGGTGGGCGCTGCATCGTCAGACTTTGTTGCTGTAAAATATGCTTGGTTGACATCTCTCTTCGGTATCATTTTAGTCCTGTTCCCGATCGCACCTAATTGGCTGGTTGCATTGCCTGGTGGTATCGTTCACTTTTATATCTATGGTCAAAGACCTATAGAAGCGATCGCTATGGTACTGGGTCATGTAGTCATGTCTTCTTTGGTGGATGGCGCCGTTTGGGACTCTCATGTTGTCCGAACTGCTCGTCCAAGTGTATCAACGGCGTTCTGGCTTGGGTTATGGACGTTTTTGGGAGGTATGAAATGGGGTCCAAAAGGCCTATTGCTTGGGCCTGTATTCTTTGCAGCCATTCCCACGATTTGGTCTGCAATATTGGAGCTACGAGGCAAGCCAGGGCCACATAGCATAACAGATTACGATCACAAGGCTTCAATGTTTCCGAATGCATCAGATGAAATTGAAGAGGAGACTTGGCCCCGAAATAACAAGCAGCGCTGCCGCGACAGAAGAGGAGACCAAGAAACTGATGAGGAAGTAGAGTATCATATCCGTCAACGAACGAGTGGCACTGGCAAGAATCGGAACCGAAGTACAAGAAGGGCAAATGGAAACCGTCATTAAAAGATAGTTTAGATAGTCTTCAAAAAGCTATTCAAAGTAGTACAATCTTGGCCCAAAGACAAAGAGGTCAGCTGAATAATTACTTTTTACATTCATTTTGTTCAGGCGCTTGTACACCTCTCGCTGTCATTGTATGGATTGCACTCCTTGGATCTGCTACTAAGTTTTGCATATCCTCCAATGCACACTTTCTTTTTTGTCTGCTATATGTCATACGGCCCAGCTCCTTCCACAGGGCCATAAGCTCTTCGTCACACTCTTCAAACGCTTGGGCAGTGGCTTTTTCCCTCTCTCACTTCTTTTTTTCCGCATATTGAACATCAAAGTCGTCGTACACCCTTGAAACCAAATATATATGCTTGCAAGAGATTCTCCCCTGGACATAGCCGGGCATGGACATCACTGAAGAAGGCCTCGCTATACGTCCGCGGCGAGCTGTGAGGAATGAAAGAATGATTAGAATCTATCCATACTGAGGTGTTTTTCAGACTTGAGACCAAGGAGAACAAAAGTTGTCTTTTAACATTGTTGCCAGGCGGAAGACTTTATTAAGACCCCGCCATGATCACCACACAACGTTCTGATCTTATGAATAAAAATGGGGGTGAGTCCTGTTCGATATGCTTGATGTGAAGATTGTGAGAGTCAATCACCATAGTGCGAAAAATGAACTGAGACACTACTCTAAAGTGGCTTTACTTGGAGATATGTCCTTTGATACCTACATTTGAAGGCTTTAAAAAGCTGTAGAGGCACTGGCTGGCTCCGCCAAAAAAATTCTCTGGTGGATAGACCTGCACTTTGTTTCGAATAAAAATGGAACCCTATCGCAAGTGCTGCTGGAGTCGTATTTTCTTTTGCCTTCATTTTAAACAAACTTGGTGCCAGCGGCTTTCTATAGAAGGTTGGAATCAACACAGCGAGGCTGAAATACTCCAAACATGTTCCCTTTGAGCCAAGCGTATCGGCGTCACGGCAAAAGAAAAAATATATTTATATACGTCAGTGTAATGCACGGGGTATTACAGAAATTACCAGTAATTAAATTTAATATTACGTTCACTAATCCCTAATATATTGCACTAATACTTACCGTATCATGCGGTCAACACCCAAAAACGCGGTAAATACCAAAGGATATTTTTATTTAATGTTCAAGGCACTCACTCGGGCACCTTTTTTTACCTTTAATGCTGACGAGGCAAGAGTCGGCCGTGGCGAAGCCGCCGGCTCGTTTATTTTGACGATGTGACGCGGCCCTTATTTTGAAACTTTAAAAAAAGTTGCGTCTACGATGCACTACAGATTTAAAATGTGAACCTAATTGAGTACTAACGCTTGAAGGCACTCGATCCTTGTTACTCACTTACGACCTTGGGCGAAGCCACCCTTTAGGCAACTATGTAAGAAAATACAATAACAATAATATTAATATTAATAATGGCAATAATGACGACGAACGTGTGGAACGTGTAGCGACGATGACAATATAAAAAACATATATATAGATATAATAAATAAAAGCAACGAAAGCAAAGGTCCTAAAGAAAATGGAAGCGAGATCGGGGATTTAGGGTGTGCTGCGAAGAGATCAGGTTCACAATTTAAATCTAAGTGCTATCGTAGACGCGACATTTTTATTTTTATTTTTTTTGGCAAATTAGAAATAAGGTCCATGTCACATGGCCACATGGTAAATTCATGGAGGCGAATTACACTTGGCATCTGTTGTAGGTCATAATATTAGACAGGTGCAAATGAAGATCACGCAAGAAAAAATTGATTTGTAATGTTGGCAATAGGAAAAGCAATGAGAACAATTAATTGAAGTTCATTTTGCTTCTCATTCTTTCATTCCTTCATTCCTATTCAACTTGTCTTTATCACAAAACCACGTTCTTAGATCTACTCGCTTTTCACATTACTTCCAATAGTGTCTTCCACTAATAATACTGTTTCTTCCTCTTCCTCAACCGGTACCGGCAAGAAACGCGCTCGTGAGGATCCCGGTATCAGGATCTTCACATACTCTTTCACCTGGAGTTTTGCCGGCCAAAGTACCTAAGGTCGGGTCATCAAGTAAACCCTCAGGAGGATACGTGAAAAGAACGTGGATAAGCTGCTTGACATAGCTAAGCTGCAAGCAGAAGCTGCAGCCAAGAACGCCGAGACTTTTATAAGGTTTAAGAAGGCACCTTTTGGCTTGAAACCATTGTCTAGCCTATTCCAACGAGGAATGTCCCGCATACTCGGCGACCTTCCTTTTGTCTACAAATTCATCTTATTCTCACTTACTTCTGTTCCTAATCACTACTTGTCTGTCTAAAATTATTGATGACATTGTTCTTTTTTCAAAGAACAGAGTTGAACATGCATGATCAATGTATCACCGTTGAATTAGAATCTACGCCGGTCATTGTACCCTATCATATCACAATTTCATCCTATTCTCACTTACTTTTCCTACTGCTACTATCTATCTGCAGAATATTTTTCAACGGTAAAGCGTTCTTCAGAAAGCACGCAGAAGATTACGAACTTCTGCAGGAATTCGCGCGTGAACCATCGTACTTTATCCTATAATAAAGATTCGTTCGTTTGTACTACTATTACTTATTTATTTATTGCAGCTATTTCATATATACAATTGATGTAGACGAATCATGAGTATAAAAAATTCGTACGGCGGCGTCGTACTATGGAAGAGCACACCAAAACCATTAATACAGCGTTTTTAATTGTTTTATCCATTTTAAAATAAACTTTATCGGTTTTTTTTAAAATTGTTCCAATGAATAAAAAAATTTATCCAAAGGTTAGTTAAAAAGTTGGCCGAAAAGGGCTGAGAAATTTATCCAAGTGTTTGCAAATTTTGTCCAAGTGGTCATGCGGAATTAACCATGACTTTTGTGGGACATGGAAAAGGACATGGTGTTTGGATATTTGTTACAGTCGGTTCGGTTATTATGTTTGAAAAAATGGATAATATTTCAGACACATTCGGATAACTTATAGGATAATTTTATTAGCTTAAATGGATAAAGCTTATTTCCCATCGGAGCAATGCAAATTGAAAATGGATAAATGTTTTTTTAAAATGGATAAAACAATTAAAAACGCTGTAACATGCATCAGTATGCAAGGTCTGGTTATTATATCCGTAGTAAAAGTAAAGATATTATAGGGAAAAATAAAGCCGAAGATTAGTGAGTTGTTTACAACCTTTTAATATCAAATGTTGAAAGACCTAGCTTTATTTGCCCTTCTTCTTTTGGATAGACTTAAAGTACGCGTTTGAGGTCCCAGCTTGCCTGATTGCAGTATCCATTGTCGTTTTTGCCTTTATAACTCTGTCGCTCAGTATTGATCCTTCAGCCTTTAGGATCTCAGCCAGAGTAGTAAAGATAATTCCTCGCTTGAGCATATATTGGTTCCTAAGATTAGGATTCCGCCCTTTGCGCCAGTCCTTTTGGAACCTGTTCAAACTCCAGATCGATGGCTTTGCCCCCTGCGCCGTAAACCATTCATCCCAGAGTGGGAAAAGAGGGGTGACCCTTGGCAACATAGAGAAATTTGGGACTGCAGCTCTGACTTGGTCAATTGGGAGCTGCAAGTAAGTCTCTATTTATCCTTGGTCTAGATGGCGTATTTAATGGAAATATATTTTTAATCTAAAAACTATGGTTGAATTGGTTTGGTGGCGTTTCGCCAACGTGACGACTTGCGGTGGCGAGTGAGCCAATTGGCTGCTAATACACTCAAGAATATTCAAAAAATATAGGGGATCGCGACCAAATGAAACGGACTACAGTCTCAAGCAAAAAGACACACTTTTATTAGCATATATATGATAGCAGTTACCAACTTAAAAAATAAGATAAAATAAAATAAATAAGAAATCGTACGCGATTGTCAATATTTATTTGATAACATTTGTAAACACATAGCCAGTTTATTAAAAAGAAGCTTGGCGGAAGGGAATGATCTGGTAGTGTTCCCAAACCTTTTCCGTAACATAGGGATCCCTAATGAAAAAAAAAAAAAAAAAAAAAAAAAAAAAAGAAACTAAAGTTAGAGACTGACCCTCCGATATGGGATGCAAAAAAAAAAAAAAAAAATCATCCCTGGTGCGTTTTCATTAAGTCAAATTTAGTTTCTTTTTTTTCCCTGTTTTTAAATACTTTTTAAGGATTTCTTCCACCTCCTTCTCAGAGTCAGCATTAAAGACCATGATGGATCCAATCATCTTTGCAGATTCCGAATGATCTGATAAGAGTGCACCGCCCAGTTGAAGAGCACCAGTCTTCTTGAGTGAAGTGGCACCTACTAGATGTGTTGGACGGACGGAAAGGCGGCGATTAAAAGCTTCAGGGTCCTGATAGTCACGAGCAATTACAAAAAATTGTTTCTTGTTATTGAGAATGACAGCTATTTTTTTTTTTATAAATAAGTCCAGACCAATGTTAGATGGAAAGCCATTAAAGAGAGGAGAGAGGAAAGGAAAAAAATAAATACAATATATATTTATGTGTGTATGAGTTATATAGCTATACAACGCCTGTGTGCTTAAAAATGAGAGTACCGGAAGAGAAGGCACGACAACCTGCTCGAGCAGATTGTAAACTGCGAACTGTAATAGGCGCGATGGATTTCAGAAACATTTTTTTTTTCTTTAATGACTAAAGGAACATGATGAAACTGAATGCGCGATGCTGTAAAGTAGAGATCAGACCGTGGGAAAATTAAAATGATTGATGATCATGTGAGCTTCAAATGAGACGCGTGTCGCGTCCCCCGCACTGAATAAATGCCCTCCAAAAATGATCAGACCTCAATCATGGGTCTCTTCAAGCGCCGTCCATGGTCTCCATGGTATAATGGCTCAATGGCGGGCTACCTCAATCATTAGTACTTGTGCATGAAATAACTGGTTGGACATCTAAAGTTGATTCCTGCGCCTTGCGTCGGGAAACTTGACTATTATAGTTAGGCATGGTCTGTGCTATGCGTCATACGCGTTTGTGTGTGTGTTTTTTTTTAGTAGCAGTGTTGATACATGTTGCAATTGGTGGTTTCCTTCCAATATTGTTCATGAACCCAATCTGTCTATGCAATCCAAAAAAAGAAAGGTAAGGAACACGAGCCAGTGGCGCAAAGGTCAAGTTCTTGGTACCTCTCTGGGCTTAATCACTTAGTTTATTCCCTGGACCGGGAACCGGGCAAATTTACCCATTTAGCTTTCATCAACATCAACCCATGAGCAGATCAGATCCAGTTCTCTGTGCTTTCTACTGGCAGAAAACAACCGTCAACTGCATGTCAAGGAAGAAAAGAATCAGTAAAATCAATCAGCAAAAAAATCAGCAGAAACTATATAACTAGCTATATCATCACAATGCACTCTGTCCACCATTAATTTGCCTCCACTCCTTTGCGCATCTAGCAACTTTTACCAATTTCATTCCTTCTTCCCTCAGCTTAAAGAAAAACAAAACACCTTTTCGGTTCCTTTTTCGCTAGAGGTATGTGACCAAATCTCCTTATTGATCTAGAAATGGTTGCCATTCGAGACTTTAAAAAATCAATTGATTGTAGGCCCAAGCTCTTGCCTCTAACAGCAATAGTATCAGGTCAAACTGCTAGGCGGCATTCATAGATATTCCGCCAGTGTACGCTGCCACAACGGTAAGATTGCCCTCAAGGCTTTCTGGATCAATTTTTTCAGTCTATCCCAAGTTCAGATACTTATGCATTACAAAAGATTGTCTTACAAAAAAGTGCGGGATCCCTCTTCCTTCAAGATACTCCATTTCCTACCCAAGGATCCTCCGAGAGAAACGCTGTTTTGAAGAAGCAAAAATGCTTTAAGTCGGTGTAAGAAAAATAGTATTGGCGTTTATCTCTTTCTTTTTCTGCATTTTCTTCTTTTCTCCCTGTCCCTCTACTATAGGAGACTAAACAAAGGAACATGAAATTTCCCATCACCTTTACAATAGCAGCCGAAGGTAGGAAAAAAGCAACAAACCTGAGTTATGGAGCTCCAAAACGTGGTTGCATATTCGGCTCGCTGGATATCTCTCGCTTGCATTTGAGGAGTGTAAAAGCGTACAAGGACATCTCTTCGAATGGCGACGACATCGTTCTTGTCTAATCCGATATGAGTCCTATTTATGTGCAGGATCCCTGTCAGCTACCTAATCAGTGAGCCAGCTCTAAAATGTGTAGCAATACTTTGTTGGCATTTGTATCAATTGAGGCTACATATAAGGACTCGTCTATCGACAGTTCGGACACCGCCATGTCAAAATGGATCACAAATCCCATCACCCACTCTATCCCCTCCAGAACGCCCTTGGTTCCAAGAAGTAGCATCTAACGAGAGAGATGAATACGAAGATAAGCACGAAGATGATGAAGCTGAACATGATCAGAACAGGATATCAATCTCTCATACATCTGGTATATTTCAAGACGATACTACAGCAGGAACCTCTCTGAGCACGACCTGGATTCAAGAGAGGTCTGCATTTACATTCAAACTTCAACTTCAAAGTGACTGGGGTCCAAAAGTAACAGAGCTATACAATACAGTAAAGGCCAGAACGTCTCTCACTCACAAGAATCTTGATGAGCTCTCGTATTAATCAGCTTGTGTCAGCACAATCAAAATATATTTCTGAAGCAACAACATCAGTTCTTTGGTAAAGAGAAATACGCGGATGTTTACGGCCAGCTACATTGAGAACAATAAAGCGTAAGCGAGAGGCGCAAGTAATTCCGCATAATTTGGAGTACAACAGCTTTATACCTGTGCTCGAGATGTGGAAAGGGTCTTTCTCCACCTTGGAATTCAATCGAACTAATTATATAGAATAAACATATATGATTAATATCATTGGTCCAATAATCACACATAACTCGATGGACAGCTTCTCCTGCTGTTTTAAAAGTGCTTCGAGCCGCACTTTACTGACACTAATATGACTTCGTAGTTTAGTGTAGATTACATAGCAGGAGGGGATGCCAGATACGATAGGCAATTGAGGTTACATAGTAGTTGATCTCTTCCTCTTCCTTACATCTGATAGAAAAAGCTGTAAAGCCGCCCAGTACCAAGGGGATCAAATGATAATTTTGTCCAGAATCAACACCTCTTCCCCTCTCCCTCTCATTCTGAGATAAGTGCTGCCAGAGCAGGTCGCATCCTCTTGATAAAAGGAAAAATTAGGATATAGTAATATCATAATTAGTGTTTTTTATGGTTGTGGCTGCGCTAAAAAATGATTCATCAGAATGAATTTTTTTTGGAGATCATTTTTTTTCTTTAAGTGCAAACGTAACAAACGCGACTACAAAAATGATGGATTTTTGGATGTTAAATATATAAATAAGAAACATGTTCCTGTTCACACTTCATTTCGCTCTACCATCTATGATGAGCAATCCCAATTTGAGTCCTATGGACATTCCAGAAATTATTTCGCGTGTTGGTGACTTCCTAGAACAAGATGATCTCTTACGTTGTATTCTTGTCTCCAGGACTTTCCACAATACACTTGCCGGCTCTAAATCCATTTGCAAAAGGATTGAGATCGGAGACGCCTATTCAAAATGTAGAAAGTATCCTACTGGCACAGCACTGCAGAGCTACAAAGAAAATATTGAGGAGCTTCTATTTTTATCCGAGTTTCCAAAGGAGTACATGTCGTTACAAGGCTGTGTTCGCCTCCAATCCGTCAAATGTCACGGCAGGCGTTTGTTCAATCTGAGTGAGCTTTCTAGCTTGATCATATCCCACAGTTCCACAATCACCAAATTTGAGCTCAGTACACAGGATAATCCAACTTTACGAGAGATATGGACAGCATTACTGGAATGCACGCCTCTAGAAGCGTTAACCATTTCTTATACTAAGATGTGTAATGACGGGATCGATCTATTCTTTCGAGTCTGCAAGAGAGTTAGGTGCTTGAAAATGTCTCTTGTAGACATCAATCGACTACCCCCAACTTCTTGGACGACGGCACGGATGAATTCATTTTTCCAAATATGACCACATTAGATCTTTATCATGTCCGGATATCTTCCCCTGCAGTCCTTTGACACATCAGGCTGTATAGAGAGAAACTAAGGAGAGTCCTTTTTATCTCTATGCGACTTCACACCCGCCCTACCATGAGTACATACCTTTGTTTTGACAGCAACTTGAGAAGGTCGAATGGCGTATGGATTTTTTTTTTTTTTGATTTTTTTTTTTTTTTTTTTTTTTTTGATAACAAAGAAATGGAACGCGAGAGGAGAAATCAGGCGCAGAGCGGAAAGGAAAAAAGTGCTATGGGTTGTAAATAATACATTTAAGGGGTGTATTAGTGGCTTATCAATCAAAGTTCATTTATACATATATTAAGGTTATACAATGGATATTGTCGTAAATGACGCCTATTCATTTACCTAAATATGTATTTCCTTTCAATTTATTTATTTCCTATCATCCTATTTTCTACCATTTTTAAATAGTATTTTTTTCCTGTTAACAAGAACCCACAGAGGTGAGGAATTTTATTTCATAATCTCGCTCTAAAGTAATGATATCGCCCTCAACTATGAAACAAGCGAAACTCTCAAAGTTCGCACGGCATGGCTGTGAAGAGCCAATTCGTATCCATGTTTTTCTCTACCAATGTACACCGTGATCGGTACTCGAAGTCCATCCTTCCGATGTGGCCTGTTGCGCCCGTGAAAAGCCGCGGAGGCTGGCGTGCCGACTCTAGCTAAGGACGACTTTTAATTTTTTTTCTATTCGATCAAATCCACTGGCATGTGGACCCAAATCTTGCGGGATTGGTCTGAAATTTCTACTTTGGACTCCGTCAAACTTTGTGATCGCTGTCCTAGTCAAGTGGGTGGATGGGGGATGTGCTGCCAGATGTACCGCTGGTTCGGCTGGGGGGTGGAATATATACCTAAGACATGTGGCCAGCCAGGCGACTTAGGGTAGTGCACCCACGATCTTAGCCTTAGCGGAGAACACTAGGCTGTCTCGGAGAGAAAGTATAAAAACTCAAGCAAATCCCTGACCTGGCACATGTTTGCTTCACTTTATGTGCCTTAACCAGGACTCGAACCCGGCCCCTGGGCTAGACAGGAGGGTGCCCTGACGAGTATACTACTCAGCCATTGGGCTAGCATCTCTAGAGTTTTCCAAATGCAGTCCTCCTCTGCCGCAGTAAAAGTTGGCTCTTTTGTCCTTGGTGGGTCTACACCTCTCTCTCTGGCCCTTTGTGCTTGCTCCTGCACTGCTTTCAACTCTTTCCTCCATGTCCTCTCCCCTATCACATTCTGGGCATCTTAGGATCACTATCGTATCCCAAAACCACGAGGCTCTTGCCCAATTCTTCATTTTTCATCATTGCCTACTAGTTTCCAGAGATCACTAGTAGATGCTCTACGACAATATTACCAAGTCATATCCTTGTCGTCACTTTGGCCGAGTGGTTAAGGCGTATGCCTGCTAAGTGTATGGGATTTCCCGCGCAGGTTCGAACCCTGCAGGTGACGCGATAATATTTTATCCTTTTTATTATTAATCTCATTGGTAGCTAGGTTGCCAAGGGAAAACACGCTCATGATTTGACTGGCAACCTACCTAGCATTACTTGGCGGATTAATCTATTTGGCAGCCCATACCAAATATAGTAATTTTTGCCTCTATTTGGCAGCCTACTTCTGGGGGCTGCCACTTAACTTCGCACTCTTGGGTGGCAGCTGGGCTGCCAAATACAGTCTTTTTCTTTTTTTTCTTTTTTTTCTTTTTTTTCTTTTTTTTTTTTTTTTTGATAACAGGGTCATAACATCAGTGGTAAAACAAGCAGCGTTCTGTGGATACATTGCCTTGCACAGCTAATGCCGCCGGAGGTACTAAGGGCAGCGGCGATGACATCTTCACAAAACAACCTTCAATGTACACGGTCAGGGAATGATTTATTGAAGACGTCTAGGTAGTAGGTGAGACGCGTTTGCTCCGAGCGAAAACCTCTCATAGGCATTGATCTCCAAATGGCACCTCCAAAACTGTATGAGCGACCTACTTGAAGACAATGTCACTACACATAACTATGACGTAGAAGACGGGAGCTTTATTAATTTGAAGTATGAGCGTTATAAACATATACGGTTCCTAGGAATGAAAAAAAAAAAAAAAAAAAAAATAGTTAGAGGCCAAATAACGCTGGGTAGGCTGTCAAGTAAATAATGAATGTTATTTGGCGACTGGGCTGCCAAAGAGAGTCTTGAAAGTTGACTATATTTGGCAATGGGCTGCCAAATAGATTAATCCTAGGCTCCTTCCCAGAATTAAGGAAAAATGCACCCCCCCGTCAGAATAAAATTTTGACCCCCCCGTCAACATTTCTCTTTCCGGAATTCTCATCCCCCCGTCAACCGCGCAATTCTTACCCCCCCCGTCAACATTCTGGAGCTGATTTTCAAAAAAAAAAAAAAAAAAAAAAAAAAAAAAAAGAGTACTACATCCTATGATTTCCACACAACTAGTACAGTATTTTAATCTTAACCTCTATTAATTGTAAAGATGGTTTAGGATCGCCAAGCGTTGACGCTGAATAATAATGCAATGTTTTTTTGTCTTTTTCTTTTAAGACTATGTTGGACGCATGTGGTGTATGTTAAGTTGCCGAGGGTTCTGAACCTGATGAATACGAATCTAGGAAGAGATCATTCATCAAGGAACTGATCCACTGATCTACTGTCATGCAAGATACAAAGTAAGAGAGGATCAATGGTGTCGAACTAAATAGCTAGTTAGATCTAGGTATAACCAAGAACAGAAAATCTTCTCTTAAAAACAGCTTCAAAATGTTGACGGGGGGGTAAGGATTCCCACAATTAAGATGGTTGACGGGGGGGTAAAGATTTACATTTTGAAAATCTTTACGGGGGGTGTACCGGAATTCTGACGGGGGGACAGGGGTAAGAATTCCGAAAAAATGAATGTTGACGGGGGGGGTCAAGGGAATTCTCAACCGGGGCTCAGAATTTTATTCTGACGGGGGGGTGCATTTTTCCTTAGTCCCTCGTTCCCAGCCCCTTCACTTTAGGTGACTCAAAAAGGAAATGGAATTTCCTGTCACCTTTATAAAGTGAAGAGGGATGGGTACGAGCCTAGATTAATCCTTACTTGGCCTCTATTTCTTGTTTGGAAAAAGATATTTGCACTGCCCCGTACACACCTTATTTGCACGGGGGTCTTTTTTTTTATTTGTACGGGGTCTTTATTTCAGCCCTAAATACCATAACCAGGAAGCCTTCCACGACACAGGCTTAGATCTAGAGCCTCTGCCAAAGCATCAAATACTGACCAGAATATTTATCTTATCAAGGTCGTATGTAGCTCAGAGTAGATGTTGGTATTCTTTATGCGAATCTGGGACTAAATACAGAATTACAAATACTATGCTACTCTACTTTGAACTTTTGTTGGCCGTGTTACTATAGATTGTGGATGGTTCCCCGATACTTTCTTTCATTTAGCGCGTGCATACATCTCTAGTATTTCCGTACACTATTAAGCACACAACGATGAGTTCAGTTATTAGGAACCTCTAATGTGTAATTTGTTTCGGTAGATATACAAACAATCATACTACCATACCCATTGCTATGATGAATAGTGTGCCATGTTACTACTCTCTTTCTTTTTCTCTTATATGTCCTTATCTCTGTCCTTCTTTATTAAGAGCTCAAGCGTCCTTGGTACTATTTTTTGTTTATCAAATTCATCAAAATGCAATGGGTAGACCGCAGTTTGTTTTGTGGAATATCTATCCTTTCACCCGTTTGTAATCCGAGAGATTATTTTTCTTTTAATAGGTGGCGCAATTCGCACTCAAAGCCGATCGTGCCACAATTACCTTTATCCCTATATCTAAATAGCTAGAATACTTTAATAGCATAACCGTGACTTATAGTGATAGAAAAAGAGGCATAAATACTCTTTTCTGTTACATTGATAAAGATCCTTATTTTTGTCCCATTGCATTTCAAGTTTGTTACCATGTTCAATCAGGGTTTATTTTTCACCAATAATAGCCAGAACTTACCTCGAGCCGTCTTTAGCACGCAGTGCCGCATACTCAGCAGCGTATGTAGATGCTCACTGCGTCTAGGGACTAGCTTCATATTGTACAACCACCTGAAAGAAAGTTAGATCAAAAAAATAAAATTTTCAAATGGTTATGAAGAGAAGCACTGTCTTCAATCCTATTTCTTGCTGTTTTCCGTCAGCATGTACTGTCTAAAAACTTCAGTGATTATCCACATTGGTCTCATTAATAAAAACGTATATTTCCATCTTAGTTGATGAAGTATTTTTGTATGTCACAAATGAGCTGTTTGTTAGAGATTCAAAATAAAAAAATAATAAATAGCTCACTTTGACCAGACTTTCTTTTGGGTGATTGTAGAGCGGAATAGAGCGTGAAAAGTATTTTGTAGATAGATAGTAAGCAGTAGAAAAGTAAGTGAGAGTAAGATATGGGCCCACACCACATCCATAGGGTATTTGTTCATTTTCTACTAGAGGGACATACCAGGTAACTACGTACCTATCTGTAGGATGACACAGGTTCGTTTTAATACTTCATATCAAAGATTTATCGCGTCTATGTGTGGCGCGTTATTGCCACTATTAGCACACTAGTGTTTTTTACTCCAGCTAGGCCATCATAATATTGCATACTGTAGAATATGCAATAGGGCGCGATGAGTATCACAGCTCCCACGGCGCTGCAACTCCCAAAAGTAATAATTCCAGACTCCCCTCTACTCTAGACTGACCTTCGCTTATGAAATAGAGACCCCGTGCAAATAATTTTTTTTATAAGTTAAAATTTATTTGCACGGGGGCCGTACAAATAAGAGGTATACGGACCCGTGCAAATAACTTCATCCTTCTGTAAAAACTCTACTGAGGACAATCTTGTGTTGATGAGAAGCATAGGAACTCCTGTTGAATATGTGACCCGAATGCTTCCTGTTTATTGACATTTTTATTTAGATGAAGCCCACCAATTAAAGGCGGGTTTTAATTGAAAGACTGAAACAATAACCCCGTGCAAATAACCTCATTATTTGGCAGCCCAGTTGCTTCCCAAGTGTGTGAAGTTAAGTGGCAGCCACAAAGAGTACCAGGATTAATCTATTTGGCAGCCCATACCAAATATGTATAGTAAATTTTGCCATTATTTGGCAGCCTATTTTTTGGGGCTGCCAAATAATGTTTTGCAAAACTAATTTGAAAAGGTTGATTGGCCACACACTACGCCTTGTTGCACTCATCATGTAATTACAAATATTAGTGTTTGTCAGAAAGAGTAAAACCCATATGAATAAATTACACTTCGATGCCTGTTAGCGGCTTCGGATGGAGCGAATACAATTGGATTTGAAATGAGTGACTTTGCTTACAGCACCAAGGTATCAACATGTCCATAAAGAAACACCCGTTATAATTTTTTTTTTTTATTTCCACGGGAGGAGCAGTGTAAGTAAGGTGTGTACGGGACCGTGCAAATACTTTTTTTTATGAGGGTGCTATTTGGCAGCTGGACTGCCAAAGAGAGTTTTCAAAACTGATCATATTTGGTAATGGGCTGCCAAATAGATTAATCCAAGTACCATATTTAGTATGGGCTGTCAAATAGTATGGGCTGTCAAATAGTATATGGCACCTGTAAGCTCGTTCCCAACTCTCTCTACTGCTGATTTTAATATTAACATCGCTTTTTTTCTAATGGACGAATAGAAATGGAAGTCGTTAAAATTTCAACATGATCTTGCAAACATGTCTGGGGCTCCTAATCCAATGGCCCTTTCTACTGAACCAGTCTTGGATATGATTATTAAGGCATATAGTGCATGCAAAAGCCAAGATATCCTTCCAATCCATTCGATTGCACAGTATGTGTATCGTCATCTAGATGACTGGGGGACGCTCGAAGGCAAACTGAACGCCATGACCTTTATCATCGCCCCAATTCTCCAAGAGATCTTAAGAGTACCAGATCGAAACAAGTTCAAATGGTAAACTAATCATCTATACTGTCAATCACTGGATAGCTGTTAGTAAATGAGATTACCTTAACAAACCAACTGCCTTTGTAATTGTATAGCCTTAATGCCTCTTATCCGGTTGGAAGAACCAGGAAGGTAGCACTTGAGTAAGATGGGCAGGCGCGTAAACCAGATGTTGTTGGTCGAACAACAGATATGCGAGAGGTATTTTTTTGGTGAGCTCAAAGGTTCTCATCCAAGAACAAAATCCAAGGGCGCAGATCTGTTACGACTGGCTGTATTCACAAAGGACGCGCTTGATCTCTTGTCTAATGAGCTTGAGCAGGACTCACCAATCTTATCCTTCCAGTCCATTAGCCATGTTGTCACCTTTTATTTAGGCGCAAAAATTGATAACACTATTGTCCATACTCGTCTCTCCGAGGTTAACCTGCCATCCCTAATTACAGAAGTGAACCTTGATCAAGGTGATTTCTACCATTTATTCCAGGCAGAAACATTGGTGCAAGTAACCAGTGATCGACTACAGCGAAAGAGGAACAAGCCCTTAGTCGACACTCCATTTCCAACACTTGCCACTCTACAGCGTGATGTTGCCTTGGGAATAAAGCGCAAAGTTAAGTAAAGGCAGCTGATCGTAGTAACTTGACTACTCTACTGCTTACAATACCATGTTCAAAAAAAGTCGCTTTTTTTTTTTTTTTTTTTTGATAACAAGGACCCACGAGGTCATGTAGGATTTATTTAGATGTTAGCTCTATAAATGCACAAACGGCAGGAGCCGCTGCATCCATGATTTCATAAAACCTGACCACCGTGGTTGGTACTCAAAGTCCACCTTTCCGACGTGGCCTGTTGCGCAACGCGACAAATTATCCGCTATCCATAGTCATCAAAAACTTCATTCCACCTAGCCGCTCCATCACGTCCAGCTTGATTTTCCCAAGGTAACTGTCCCGGACTCGGTCATCCGCGATCTTGCAGATCTCTTTTACATTCAGCTTCTGTCTTTGTCTGAGGGAAGGGACAAGGAGATCATTGCTACTACGTCTGTGCTCCCCAACACAGTTGCGTCCTCTAGCGCGTTTGCTCATAGCAGTGATTCCACGAGTCTTTTCCCATTCAACGGTGACTTTACACCGTTTGTTCCAGATTTCTGTACGACCGAATTCTTCTATGGCCTTGACGAAGCGCCCTGCCATATATGTAGCTATCCTTGTTGTTGTCTTGAAGCCAACTTTCCAACTCTGAGCAATGGACTTGGGCGTAAGTCCATGGTAAATGTCCTACACAGACCAATCTGGTGTGTGCTCTACCTCTTCCGCATCCTCATCATCGCCGTTCCTATCACCATGGCGTCGTACTTCTCGCACACCATCGATATGCATCTCTAGAGTTTCTCAAATGTAGTCCTCCTCTGCCGCAGTAAAAGTTGGTTCTTTTGTCCTTGGTGGGTCTACACCTCTCTCTCTGCCCCTTGCCTTACGTTCAAAAAAAAAAAAAAAAAAAAAAAAAAGTCGTCTGCAAAAGCCAAATAACTTCCTCTGGCGCTCTCTTCTTCCTGTTATCTGAATTATAATTTTAATTACCCAAACTGAGACAGAGTAAAGAGAAGAGTTCATTGCTGTCACTTTGGCCGAGTGGTTAAGGCGTATGCCTGCTAAGTGTATGGGATTTCCCGCGCAGGTTCGAACCCTGCAGGTGACGCAATATTATTATTATTATTTTTTTTTTTTTTGAATATTTGCATGGGGTTTGTTACAAGGATGGAGTTATTTGCACTGCCCCGTACACACCTTATTTACACTGCTCCCCCCCGTGCAAATAAAAAAAAAAAAATTATTTGCACGGGGTCTTTATTTTTTATTTCGAAAGAAATAAGAGTAGGGAGGAGTCTGGAGTTGTTACTGCTGGAAGTTGCAGTGCCCTAAGGTAATGTGGCATTGTATTAGTTCACTCTCACCCTCTTTTGTTTTGTTTTGTTTTGTTCAGTTTTGAACATCAATCCCCTCTTGAGATATCAGGAATATATAGAAATAAAAACTGCCTCCAGCATGCTCCTTGACCTTGACCTTGACCTTGAGCTTGACCTTGGTCTTGACATTGATCTTGATTTCGATCTCTTGATGGACGCGTCCGTCTATGAAAAGATCATAGCAAGGTCAAATAAATAACGCATTTTGGGATGAACTTTTAAAGAGATCCGCTTAATGACAAACGAGTGATGATTTATCCAACACTTTTAGACAACAGCCTTGGGATGAAAAGGTTTTTTTTTTTTTTTTTTTTCTTCTTTTTTTCAGCTTCTATCTAAATGCACGTGATACTGACATTCATGCTGATGTTTTGTCAAAGGTTATAATGCTAGGGAATGCGTCTGGAGGGAACTAAGCGTCGTAAGTTGACTTTATAATACACTTATATTATGGAAGCAAATGGAAGGGAAAAAAAAAAAAAAAAAAAAAAAGTGTTTATTTGCGCGCAAGGGTGATAATGTGAATAGGATATGTAAGTAAATCATCATTCGAGAAGGAAGGGGGAGTGAAAAAAAAAAAAATATATGCAGTACAAACCGTTAAAGAAAAAATGTTTGCGCAGCAATAGATTTTTGGGAGGTTGCGCAGATTGATTCCTGATGTTATTTGTTTATTCGACTGGAGATTGGATGGTTGGGAGGAATGCAATGTATTAAAAAAAACAAAAAAAAGAAAAAAAAAAAAGGATCATGAGCCCTCTGGCTGGACCAAGTTGCCAGAAGAACCTCCTCCAAGCTTGAAGTGAGGAGGAAGGGGAAATGTGGAACAGAGGTGTGAGTTTTTTTTTGTAGCGTTGGAAGGAACCCGATGATCACCACAAGGTGGCATCAACTTATTGGGCTTTGATAGACAACAAGTGCTAGTGCTAATGCTAATAGATAAAAGAAATCACGGCACAGCTTCTCTTATACCTCTGTGAAATTGTATACTTACTAAGGCCTATTCTTCTTCAATTATGAAGGACGAAATACACAAATCGTGATTCATTTGCACGCTTTCCACGTCTCTAATTCTTTTAAGATTGATAAATATATTAAAATTATGAGATATTAAATATTCACATGCTTTGTTGGCTATTAATGAGGGCAAATATATAACATTTCTGTACGCCGTGGGGACGTTGTTTCAGAGCGTCATGTCATATCCAGCTCCATCCTATCTTTGACTCTGACAAAACAGGTTTTTTTTGACAGACGATCGGAACTTGATCCTAGGCCGCTTTTTTCTGTGCTTTTATGAGTTTAGTGTTCCTCTCATTTTTAACGCGCAACAGAGATAGAAGAAAACTTGTTTCAAGTATATGTATAAAAATACACATATGGATGTGATGTCAGCTGGTGGTTCATTCGCATACATTGAAGGATATACATTCTATTTTCTTTGTCATCGTTCAGATTTCTTTTCTTTTTTTTTTTTTTTTTTTTTTTACTTCCTACGCTTGACTAAAACGGGGTCAATTCCATTTATCCATTGCTATTGCCTCCCACTTCAGGTCTAGTTTTATGAGAGCCTAACTACCACAACTTTTAAAAGCATAAATTTTCGATGGGAATAAGGAAAATCCTCACCGCTTCTTTTCTTTCTTTCTTTCTTTCTTTGTCCGTCGGAAAAAAAATAAAATAAATAAATTACCTAAACATCTGTAAAAAAAAAAAAAAAAAAAAAAAAAAAGAGGAACTAGGAGAATACCGATTGTCTTTCTCCCCCCTTTTTTACGGTTGCGCAAAAAAAAAAAAAAAAAAAAAAAAAAAAAACAATGGAAGAAAAGAAAGAAGGAAATAGAATGGCGTAGAAAAAGGAAGATGTCTTGGAAGATGCAAAGAGAAAATGTAGAAGAAATGGAAGGATGATGTGATGAACACATTCCATCCATCCCACTTTATCCACATAATCTTTTTTTTTTTTTTTTTTTTTTTTTTAACGATTTAAGATTAGCCGATTAACCGATTAAAACCCAGGCTGTTTTGGTCTGTTAAAATTAGCAAGCCAACCCCCCAACGATTTCTCACTGAAACGTCAACAACAGCCATTATTCTTTTCTATTGAAGTATTGAAATGGAGTTGGAAGGGCTGGTTAGGATAACGCCGTTTGTGTAATCGCCCCACGAGATCAAATGGATTGCCAAGAATGTATTCCTCCATCCGTTCTATCTATCGCTCGTTCGTATTATAAATATATATACATGTATATATATATATACCATGAGGGCAATTTCTTTTTGTGTAATGCGTTTACAACACTCAGAGAATAACGCAATGCATACAACTCCAAAAAAAGCATTGTCAAACAGGAAGGTGGAGACAGAAAGGGGAGGAACACAAGTTCCACAAATCCCTGTTTACGTTAATGATATTTTTATTTTCATGGATGATTGCTGGTTGGCCAACAGTTGTCATGAAATGATGACAACAATGTTCCTTTTTTTTTTTTTCCCTCTGGGGCAAAAAAAAATACACATGTATGCAAGGGGAAATGGACGCCAAAAAAAAACCAAGAAAGTAGTTTTGCTCTTTTTTTTTTTTTTTTTTTTTTTTTTATGCAGCACGGAACACGTTTTTTAGTGAGTATGCTCCTGCTTCCGTTCTCTTTGCATATGTATAAAAAAAAAAAAAAAAAAAAAAAAAAAAAGAGTTACTGCCCCTTCGCGATGACCTTCTTACATCACAAGTAGCAAATGGTTTATAATACTTTTTTTTTTTTTTTTTTTTTTGGTTTTTCCCAGATGGCTTTTATTGTAAATTAAAATGAATGTATATGTAAAAAAATAAAAAGCGGGATTATTGGTACTAAAAACTAAAATACTATGTAAAGGATCGCCAAGAAGGATGAGGTGTTTTTTTTTTTTTTTTTTTTTTATCGGATGTCACAATGGTTCAACAACAACAACAGTAATAATAATAATAAAAGAAAAAGAAGAACAAGTTAAAGAAACGAGAGCCTTCTCCATCAAGAAAGAGAGCCTCCTTTTCCTTTTTTCCCTCCCTTTTGGAGATCTATCTCATCTTCGTGGCTTGCTCCTGTCTGTTTTGTTTTTTTATATCTTGTTGGTTGGGTTAAACCTTCTGAATACATCCAATGATTAGTAAACAAATACTTTAAAGAAGGAATTGGAATGCAGCGGCAACGGTACCGACCAGGGCAACGATGGAACCAGCAGCCAATGAGCTTGCAGAGCTAGGCTTGTTGTCAGTGGGCAGGGGTTGTTGACCGCCAGTGGTTGTGGGACCACCGGTGGGAACGGCAGGAGAGGCAGGGTTGTTGAGTTGGAACTGGCTGCTATAAGAGTTGTCAGGGGTGGTCAAGACACGGAGAGAGTAGACTCCAGAAGTGACGTTGCTGGGAATAGGGATGGTAGTGGAGGAGATGGCTCCAGAGCAATCGAGTGAGCCTAAGGTGGTGACATAACGAACTGCATTCGAGGGACCGTTGACGAGGTGGATATCGACAGCGTGGGAAGCGTTGCCCATGCTAGCACAGTTGCCGGTCCAAGCAATGTAGCCAGTCTGACCCGAAGTCCATACGGTTCCATCGATGGGGTTGCTATTGAGGTCAAACAGAAGAGATTGCAAAAGGTAAGAAAACAGGACCTTGTAAGGTAGGAATATGTTTTAGATCCGAACGAGACCAGACATCAGTCTTGGAAAAGGTATTTATCTTACTTGATGGCAATCTTTTGAGCACTAACGGCAGCCAAGGAAGCAGCAGCAGCGGCGACAGCAATGAATTTCATGTTGAGTATTATGTATAGGGGAAGGAAGTAAGTTGCTGAAAAGAGTGGTTGGGGTTGATGAGGATGAATGAAGAGAATGAGAGAAAGAAGAATGAGAAGAAGAAGAGAAGAGAAGAGAGAAGAGAAGAGAAGTGTTGAACCGAGTAGAAAAGCACATTCGTTTATATAGTTCATGACATCGTCTAAAGGTACAGGGGATGAATACATTTGTTATTCAAACCTGATTCAATCCAGATGAGTTGATACATGTATATATATTTTATATACGTCCAATACATTAGAGTGATTCATTCATTTTACATTTTTACATTTTTACATCTTTACATTTTTACACATATCTGATGTGATTTGTGTGATAGCGTAAGTCATTGACTGTCATGTCATACAGAAGACAGCCATCTTTTTATTCATGATGACAATTTTGAGCATTTACGACTTTTTTTTTTTTTTTTTTTTTTTAAAACATTCCAGTCCTTTCAGCAGACTCGTAAAAGAACCCCTAGTTCATCTGGGCATTTACTTGTACCGAAGGAACCAAAAGAAGAAGAAGAAGAAAAAAATAAAAATAAAAAGTGGGTGCCTGGTCTCTCTATCATTGTGGACACAGCAAATAAAAAAAAGGTCTTTCCCAACCGTTGGACCATTCATAGTTTACTGTTTACTACATGTATATATATATATATATATATATATACAGTACCGGATAAAAAGACTGTTTGACAAACAACAACAGGTACAGTTCAATGTTATTGACTATATTAAATAAACATTATTGAGTCCTACTTGGGCCAGTCAGCTTTGAGCGATGGAGCAAAAAAGAGAGAGAGAAGAGAGAAAGAACATTGTTGACATTACACCAAATTAATATTTTTGTTATTTGTTTAATCAAACCTCATAATCCTCAATCCATAATCCATAATCTTTTTTTTCTTTTCTTCAATTCCCAACGGATATAACGGGAACCCACAGCCGCGTGCAGCGAAGGGGGAGAGGGCAAAAGGAAAAAGGAGAAGGAAGGACACAGGGGAGACTAGAACTAAACCAATTTCCGTTCCTTACCTGTCTAGATGCATCTGCATGTGTCTGTGAAAATGGTCTCTCTCTTCTTTCTCTTCTTTTTCTTATTTTCCCTTGATGACATGACATACCGTTCAGACTGCTCAATGCAACAATGTGCATGTACACATTGCATTCATATCCATCCAACTATCTTTCCAATGATACCACATCCTCATCTTTTTATTTTTGTACACTCTCTATCTGGTTATCTGTAAATCGATTATCCAATTATTCCCATGCCCTTCCAGTTTTTTTTTTTTTTTTTTTTTTTTGCCGCCCATCACTACCATCATCATCATCATCATCATCATCTTGTATAAATATACATCTGTATTTTATATTCTTTTACATGTACATCTTTTTACTTTCTTTTTTTTTTTTTTTTTTTTCACTTTCTTCTCCCTCCTCTGTTTCGTTTTTCTTTCGGTTCGATAGATAGTGAGCACGTATTTAATAAAGCATGGCGAAAGTGCTCTGAAAAAAAGCTTTTTGACTTTATATTTCCATGCAATGGTTGGTAACCCTTTTCTACTCCGCCGCTTGCGAGATTTGGTAGAGATTGGAGATGCAGAAAGAGGGTAGGGTTGAAGAAGAGGCGAGAGCCAAATAAATAAATAAAAAAAAAACATGAGCCATCGGAATCAAATAAAAAAATAAAAAAAAACAAGCGAGACCTGCTTATTACATGAATATAATGCCTTTCCTTGAGTAACTTCACTTTTTTTTTTTTTTTTTTTTTTTGCATAAATACAGAACCCCTATACACGCCCTATACACGAAAATATTTCCAAATGCACGTCTTCCCATCGCCCCCTTTTTCCCCTCACTATTCGTGTTGTTCATCCAATATGAACACACGGCATTAAGACATCGGTTTCAATCCACGGTGAATCAGTTCATAGGAGAAAGAAAAAAAGGGTCATTTATTTCATTTATTTGCATGTGCTTTGGAAGGAGATCCAGGTTGGTGCTCTATTCTAATATTTATTTATTTATCCGTCCTTCGCTTCGTCCTTGTCTATAAAGCCAATATTACCTTTTAGTGTAACAGTAAAGATAAAAATAAGAAAAAGAGTAAACATCAGGTTAGAAAATTAGATAATTGCTCGCTCTCTTTTTTATTCTTTTTCTTTCTCTCTTTTTTAAACGACGTTCAAACTCGGAGAGAAAAAAAAAAAAAAAAAAAAAAAAAAGTTACGAGATTGAAGTAGGGGACGAGGTCAGGATATGAAAATTTGACACCATTGTTTATTTTTTTTTGTCTGAATTAGCATGATAAAATGCATCATTCCTCTTCCTCTCTCTGTATACTCGATTCTAGTTTTTTATTTATTTTCGTTTTTTTTTTTTTTTTTTTTTTTTTTTACCTTTTAGTATCCCGTTGACCACATCAACACGAGTTCAAAAGTCTAAGAGATGCTATTAAACTGAATAATAGGTAAAAAAATAATAAGGATAATTAATATCACATAGTCTTTTTATGATTATTATTGTTTTCCTTTGCTTCCTTTTACTGTCGCGTACATTTCTTGATCCTTTTCTTTCAAAAGGATCCAAGAAGGGGAAAAATGTACTTGACAAAATAAATTAATATTTTTTTTTTTTTTCTTTAAAAAAAAAAAAAAAAAAAAAAAAGAGAAGCGAGTTCAGAACCAGAAATATGTGCTAAGCTACTCAACATTATGTTATCTGCCTGGGGCGGCATGAGCGATCATCCTTTAGGCAACTCTTTTTTTTTTTTTTTTTTTTTTTTCCCTTCTTTTGCTATTTTTTCCATTTTTCAAAACAGAAAAAAGAATATTGAAGAGAATAATAAATAATACAAAGAAATAAAAAAAAAAAAAGGATAACTTACCAAAACAAGAACGTGAAGAAAGCTAATGAATCAAGATGCAAAGGGATGTGGGAATGAATAACAAATGGTAAGAGGAGGAAGAGAACGATCTTTTTTACAGTGTTTACTTTTCCTAAAAAAAAGTAAACAATAAAAAGTCAAGTCCAGCAAGGAAGCCACAGTAGAGTTTTCAATCGCACGAGTTAACACAGTTATTTAAATCTCTGAAAATTTTGCAATTTTCACTTTTTTCGCTTTGGGCCCTTTTCATGCTTTCTCTCCTTCACGTTATTTTTTCTGTGTTGGAAAACAAGCACCTCCAGAAGGAACTTGTAATATGAGAGCTTGTTTGCGCTTTCCTTTGACCATATCGTCTCTGTGTCAGCACACTCTTCAATTTTTGGAAGAGTCTTTTCCCCCATCCTTGGGGAGGCTCTTTTTCTTTATTATTATTATTGTTATTATTATTTTTTTTTCTCAACGAGTAAAAGAAAAAACTGTGTTGCACATGAATGAATAATTTGCTTAATTAGCAAAGCCCATTCCATGAAGAACAAAGTCATGCTCCTGCATCACTCTACAGAAAAAGAAAAAATAAAATAAAATAAAATAAAAAGAGTTTAAATTTACCAGCTACGAATCTTGCAGGATGAACTTTGATGTTCAAGATGTTTGCTCAAGATTAAAAAGAATGACACCCACTGGTCAGCTGGTCAGTCGCGCTATCATTGGTCAGTATTAGCCGCATTCCTTTCTCGATTATGGTGTTCGCTTTTGGATTTCTATTGGTTGGTATTCGTGCGATTATGTGAATGTTGCCTACAAAAAGCGCAAGTTTATCGATTATACGCATAATCACAAGCGAGAAAGGAACACGGCCATTATATTCACAGAGCACCAATTCAATAAACAATCTTCCAACAACACACAACGAAATAGTCAAGTATCTTTGCACCCAAGAGGTTCAAATCAAGGGATGCGCTCTGGATACGAATGGCCTGAGGGTAAGGCGAGGTCCTGGAGTGAAGCATGATGTTGGCGATATTTACTACATAATATTCATCAATGCACTGATAAAGAAGCATCTATCAATGAATGATTTTCTTCAGCGTTTCATTGCTCAAATGGTTCAGGCTGGCTGCAGAGTTGTTGGACTACCTAATCAGCCCAAGGACCTTAAGGTTTCTGAATCTCTGAAACAGAGGACAGCCGCCCTACTTCAAGCCAAGTATACAGGGATATCGGAGGCCAAGGTAATTGATTACGAAGAATCACTACGACTGGAGACAAGGTCAGACCTTTCTAATGAAGAGTATTACGCAGTACAAAAATTCAGGATTATGGACGCCTACGGCATTGAGGACCCATCTATCCTTACGCCTGAATGGGTGAAGACCTACAGTAACCCAAAAGAGATGAAGGTCTTTCAGAATCTGCGAGCCTTGAAGAACGACCCAGAGTTGAAGATGACAAAGCAGAGCGACTCGTATCCTCTCGGGAAAGATCAAGAAAGGAGGGACACTGGCGCCATACTACATAGACTACACCAATCAAAGTATACCAAACTAAAGTATGCAAAAGACATCCTCTTTGCCTGTGGCTATGACTCTCCATTTGATCCCAAATGTAGAGCATCCACTGCTCTCAAATCAAGCCTGGATGAGCAATGGGAATCGCTATCGTCAAACATGCGGAATATTTGCACACAACTTCCATTCCCGTACCCATCTCATAGCAACTGGAACTTCAGAAACCGGCAGAACTTTGTTAACTCTGTCTTGAATGAGGTTCTCCAATAGTCTTGGATGCACTGTTTGTAGTTGGAATGCTGTAGAGCCACCCATGTTGCCTCAGAGATATCGAAGCCTTCCCATTGAACCAGAAACTCCATGTCCTCACCTTCTCCGCGATGGTCTAAAATCCTAGCAACCTCGTATTCCTCCTGCGCTGTCTCTGCCATAGTCTCATCTGCAGTGTCTAGTATGTTAGGCTGCGAACTAGCTACAGATAGGAACGCGCTTCTTGTAGTTCTAAAAGACTCCGACCATGATTTAGTTTGACTTTGATGCTGGGGAGCTTCTCATAAGCAACCTGATACTCATTATTGTCTGGAAAGTCAAACGCATCTTGCATCCAGAATGTGTGGTGCGTCTGAGTGGGGATATTATGGATTGACACGACTCTCTTGATATTCATAAGCAGGCAACAAAGCTTGAATTGGAGATCAAACGTCTTTGCGTTTGAGAAACGGATAGGAGCGTCGTGTGTGAACTTGGAGAACGTGGATTGCATGTTTCTCAACACCCTACGATGCTTGACCGAAATCCACCAAACGCTTTATTGTAATGTAACTCTTGGTCTGTCATGGCGATCCCTCTAAGCTTGCGCGCAGGATAAGAGAAATTCTCGTAGGACAGTACATCTGATGGTTCGACAAATTGTCTAACGAACGCACTGTAGCACCGCCAAGAGCAACACAGTCCAGCTTGTGTATGTGCGATGCAATGTTCATCACTAGCATAGTCCTATCATTGAAATCTCGACAAGGAGCTGGCTTGGATGCAAACAGTATGATATTGTTCATGTCTGAACACACTTGAATACGAAAACCCGACTTCTTGAGTTTATAAGAGTAGAGACTTGGCTTGTCAGCACCGATGTAGCTGACTCCTGTGTCATGTCCGTCTAGATTCAATGTCACATGCTTGAATGGCTCAGGGTTGTTCTTGGCAAGTAGCAATCGTAGCTTCAAGCTCGAGCACATATCTCTCATCATTGAGGTTATGTCATCATGTAGTTTCACAGGGTCTCGAAGATAAAATTCCTTGTGCAAGTCGTAAAAGGACGTCTTTGGTATGAACCTTGACATTGTAGACAATGAATCTCCTGTGATCAGCGCAAAAAAAGAACGTAGGGATGAATCCTAGACGGTCAAGCACCATTGACTTGACGTGTGTTACGTCAGAGATCTCTTTCATCTCTGTGCGATGAAACTTGGCTTTCTTTATAGCTGGCCACTCCTCCTGCATAAACCTCCACTGAGCCTCAACAAGGCGTACATATTCCTCAGAAACAGCACTCATACATATATACTCTTTGCAAGCTATTAGATATAAAGCGCTTTATTTACAACTCCTCTATATTATTCCATGTGTTCACTTTATTTTCATCTTACCTATTCATGTAAGTGCCAAATATTCACTTCAATTGCAATTCATCCTAATATGGCGACTGTTCGGACTCCATATAATACTGTATAAACACCTGAACACTGCCAGACTACTCTACGTCCCTTAAACAATATTCCTAGCATACATCTGAACTTTTGCAAGGGATGTGCCAATGCTTCGACAAACATGTAACATTTAATGGCTACATCACAGCCCTTGGGTTGTGGAAGCGCTGAAAGTATGCGGAAAACGGGAACCATTTGTGTTTTTACTAGCAACAAGCGTGGTTTCAAAAAAGTGTGCCTAAGGAACAAATCCTATATCCTTCATTGCTCAAAAGAGACAATGTTATCTTTTCTGCACCCCAAAAGCTCGCCATAATCCTATTGAAGCGTTCAGAGGCATTATTTGCCTCATGGTTTGAGGATTAGCAGACTTTCAGTCAAGTTTTATTGTTTTGAACAACACAGTAAATCCTGTCCATTCGAAGTTAGTCCCTTTGGATGGCAGCTATTCAGGGGATGCTAATCATTTCCGCTAGATTGCGGTGAAATCAGAGCAGATTTGGATAACCAACAAGCACCAAACAGTCGCCTTAACAAGTGAGCGAGGATCTCTATGGCGCGCACGGACCATGGGGCGACTTTTCAAATTCTTTTTATAAAGAAGAAATCCAAAGTCGCCCCCGGCTATACTCCTGGTCGGGTAATCTTTGTATTCAGACCATAATACCAAGGCTCCCAAAAATGTAGAGACTTGGCTCTCTCGGTTGCTAAATCTAACAAATAATCTAGTCTTCTTCTCTCTGGTATGGTTTCAGAGACAAGGAAACGCAAACCTGACCATGGATAAGCAGTACCTGAATCCCTTCTTTATAGAATTCGTAAGCTCTATCTGCTTTATCCTAATGCCCATTATCTTGTCGCAGTGACGGAATTCTCTCATGTAGTCTGGAAGTGGGCCGCTACACAATTCGCGCTCAGTTCCTTGCTGGGTAAACTAAGATCCTCCACTGTGAATAGGACAATTTGAATATATGGCTGACCGGACGCCTGGGTGGACCGACGGTGCCTGGGTCCCCTTTTCTCATCCAGACTCTGACAGACTGAAGACAAAGTCATTCCATTCATCATATGGTTTTTAAAATTAAATTTCACGCATAAAATCTTCTCTCTGACCTGAACTTGACAGAGGCTGAAGTGCACACTACGCGAGAGTGAATCCAAGAAAGGAGAAGAGTAATTGATCACCCACGAGCGATTCTTCAAGATTTTATCGTATGCTTCTTATGACGAAGACTCTAAAAAAAAGTTATCGGCATTGTATTTGAATAATCTGGGAAAGCAGCTCGTATGTTACATGCATGGATTTTATCAACTAACATGGAACTTTGACAAAGAGCTTGATGCATTAATTTATTGAAATGTTTAGTCGTCGTGTTTTTACTAAAATATTAAGGTGGATCAGCTGGAGCTATCAAACAAGCTCTTTTTAACTTCGTCCCAACAAACATGTCTTATCTGGGGATACTCCAGGACTTTACCCGTGTGATTGGGCGGCCCATGTATTTCTTTACCTTCGCAAAAGTCATTCTTCCCGCGAATATACACAATCCTAAAGTCCGGACACATCACACCGTTTCTCGTTACTTTAAAGTTCCTTTTATACAATTTGGGCTTGCCGACAAGCTCTGTTTCCTCCATTTCTGCTTTGTGAGTTCCGCCGTATGTGTGGTCTAGGAAATACTCGATTTGATTTCTTTCACCAGCATGTTCCCGACTTGTAAATGCCAAATCAACGTTTGCAGAGCCATTGTTGTGTTTTTGAAAATTAGAGATCGAAATTTGAATAAAAGTGTAGCCAAGTATAAAATCGAATCGAGCTAGTTCGCATCCATGTATCAGGATATTCTTGCCCTCGTCGCCGAGTTTTCTAGGTGGCTTTTGAAGATACTGATAGCCATTGACTCTCAGCTCTAAAATTTGTTCCTCCTTTCCAGCAAGATTAGTTGACTTGAAAACTATGTTGGTACTTTTGATAAGCGACTGGAAGAAAGCATCGGAAAATTGGGCAGGATTTAAGGTACCCCCCTTTATAGCATCTTTGTATACGTCGGGGAGTGGGCATGACTTGTATAGTTCGAAAAGCGCCGCCTCGGATGCTGGTGTAATTGGGCGCTTTAAAATTAAAAGACTGGCCTTGTCCGGATCCTCATACTGATATACTATTCCAAAATCGAGGAATTGCCAATCAAGTACCGCGTCTGGGTGCTGGTTGTCTCGCAGAAACACATCGGCTAGGGCTCTACGGATATCTGTTTTAGACATCGGATCAAGTCTTAAGTAATAGCCCTTCAAGATCCAAGAGAGCTCTGCCTGACGAGTTTCCTCATAGGTCTTTAGTCTTCGCTCGATTTCATCAGCTGTGAACTCAATCTCTCGAAAGTCTTTGCCAAAAAATTTATTAAGCTCCCGTGGTATACGTCCGGTGGCTCTTTGAATCTCGTCTCGTAGCTTGTCCAAATGTTGGCGGACTGTTGGCCTGAACGTACCTATGATCACACTCAGTAGCTTATCGAAAGTAATGGGTGACAGTGGACCAACAAACTCGAAATAATGTGATGCGTCTCTGAGAATAGTCCTCTCAAACCTCCCATGCGCAGTCCCTGTGAATACTACACGCGCTCCAGCATAGTGTGACCCCCATGAATTAAAGGAGTTCAAACAATGTAACAAATCAAACTTCATTGTTGCTGACTCTGTACCATGTGGAAACAAGGCTCCATGCTCATCAATAACAAAAAGAGTTTTCTGTTGTCTTTGTTGGAGTAGATTGCGTAAAATGTATCTAGCAGTTGAAACCACAAGAGGTTTTGTTGTATCCTGAAAATTAACCATGTTTACAAGCTCTTCCACTGTTAGAATGTCTTTGTTGAAAGCTATAAAGATCCGACATATAATGGTCGCTGCTTCTTCCTCTGATACAGACGACTGGAGATCCATAGCGTCGGGGATATAGAGGACTGGCCACCCATGAGCATATGCCTTAGCAGCTAGAAACCAAGCGATATATGATTTCCCGACTCCCATGGGGCCAGACAGGCATCTTTTAATCGACCATTCAAAATCCCCACCAAGTAACTCCCATAGCTCCATCATCTGCTCAGTCACAATAAGCTCGTGACCTTGATAGTCCTCCGCAAAGAACTTGGGTGACTGGCCGAGACTTTTTACCCTGATTTGATCTCCCACTTTTACGTTTGTGAACTGCGAGAAAGCAGAGCGTGGTTCTACACCTTTGCTATCGTCCCCAAGCATGCCTATTAGGAAGTTGGGCAACGGCACTCGGTTGCCGTCAAGGTGAGTATAGTATGACCAAAATTCTGACGAACGACGACGTTTTGTACGACTTTCTCCTGTGTATTTTAAAAGTAAGACGAGTGAGCGATACGAAAAACAATAATGCTTCAAGGTTCGTGAGATCAATGGTCATCGATGCAGCATAGCAAACTTACCGTCTAAATCAACATCATCTTCTCGATTTCTTTTTGAAATTGCTAAATATTCACATGGACAACAAACAGTCAGACGATTATTATATGACCACGTTGAGAATGAAAATAAGCTACATCAGTGGAAAATATCAACAACCAGCCCGTCGAGAACCAAATAAGAATAGAATAGCGCTGAAAAAAGTCCTATTATCATTTAATCAAATCAGCACCTGTAGCTGATGGATGTAAATGAACCTAAACCACAAACAAAAAAAAAAAAAACAACAGCGTTGTGAAAGGACAAAAATAACAGTGGGAGTCTGAGGATGTGCACGGAGCATGGAGGGGCGACTTTTCAAATTCTTTTATAGAGATGAAATCCAAAGTCGCCCCCAGTTAAATAGTGTTGCCGAGATTCCAACTTAGAATTTTCGTCACAGTATACAGTAATAATATAGTTCTTAATCCTATAAAAAGGCTTGTCATAGAAATTTAATAACACGGTTCTTTATTTTTGAGATGGATATTTCTAAAAAGTTTCTCTTTGAGCTCGTCGAAGCTGACATGAAGAAGATCTTTGTACTTTCTGATTAATCCAGTGTGGTTTGGTGTACCAGGGGAACCACGCATGTAAACTATTTTAAATCCAGTTACTGGCTCTCCATCCTTTTTGACAACAAAATGCCCATCGTCAATTATGGCGGAATGATTACCTCCAAATACTTCGTCCAAATATCCTTCAATCTGATTTTTGCCGTTGGAATCTCTCTTATCAAAAGCGTTCTGGATCTGCTTAGTTTGTTTCTGCTCGTGGTCGCAGAAATCACTTATGGACACCTGGATAAACATTGTGTCGAGTATGAAATCAAAGCGAGGATAACTCGAATGACAATGGCTCAGTACATGTCCATAGCCACGTCCAAGAGAAGTCATGTTTTGATGGATTGTCCCATGATCCTTAAAGTCCATTATAATCTGCGTTGGATCCTCGCCGACAAGGTTTGTTGCTTCGAGAACGATTGGCTTGGTTAAAGTCAAAAACCGGACCAGCAGTGCCAACTCGAAATCATCTCCACTCATCTCTCCAAGAACAACTCCCCTCAGGATATGCTCATGATGAGGCATACTTGTAAACGCCTTAAAGAGTGCTTTCTGCACTGGGGGGCACAAGACATAGTTTATGGCTCCGCGGTTCTTGTTGAGACGATAGATAAGCCCTAGGTCACGGAAATCCCATTCAAAATCACCACTCTCCGAGTTGTTGCCAAGGAAGACTGTTGCAAGGCTTTTAGCGAACTCCTCCTTCGATATCTCGCTGAGAGCTTTGTAGTAATTCTGAACTACAGGGCGAAGCTCGCTTGTTCTCTGAGCTACATACCCATCAATGCTATCTCTTGTGAGTGGTCTTTCCTTAATTGATCGAATGAGGCGCATAAACTCTCGCGGCACACGGTTTGTAATCCTCATTACATCCTGGACAATATCGGGTTGGTTCAGGTGGACCTCCAACCATTTTGAAAACACTGTCTCGGATAGTGGGCCAACAAAGTACAATAAGATAGCTCGAGCACTGTCTTCCATAATCTGCAATTCATATTTGGCATGGGCTGTTCCTGTAAATATCACTCTAGATCCTTTGTAATGAGACTGCCATAGATTAAGGTTCATTAGATGCTTCAGGAACGGGTATTTATCCGGCACATACGGCTCTTTTCGGAATAACTCTCCATGTTCGTCGATAATGAACAGTGTTTTGCGCTCCTTCTGTTTGAATAGGTCGAATACTGCGCGAGCAGCCACAATTGAGCAATCTATAACTTCAGAAAAGTCGAGGAGACTTTCCAGATCAGATGCCGTCAAGATATCCCTGTTGAAAGCGAAGAAGCGCCTTAACAGTGCCTTTGCCGATTTTGTATCCGAACTTTCATTTAATATCGCGGCATCTGGTATATAAAGGGTAAGCCACCCTTCCGCATATCCTTTTGCAGCAAGGAAATAGGATAGATATGACTTGCCAACCCCCATAGGACCAGAAAGGACTCGCCGAAATGAAAACCTTTGTTCAGCACTAATCTCCTTCCACAATTCTAGCATCTGATCCGTAATTATAAATCCCGAATTATATTCCTCAAATTCTTTCGGTGTGAGGCCCAAGGATGGAATGTGAACTTGATCACCAAGCTGATTATCGCTTTTCAGATGATTAAACTTATTACGTGCATCGGGCGGGTCTTCAGGATTCTCCAGCATTGCGATCCAAGAGGGTGGTAACGTGACCATTTTACCATCAGAAGCCCTGTATTCTCTCCACCCTTCCTCAATGCGCATCTTCTTTGAAGGTGAAATATACCGTGGATCTAATTATGATCATCATACACATACACAGTTGGTTAGTACCATAACATAGTCAGTCACCAAGTCGATCTATCTAAACAGCAAAAAACAAATTATTACCTTCATCCATTTTTCTCTTGAGAATCTGTTCCGATGACTCTAGAAAGATAAGAGAGCGCGGCAATGGCAGAAATGTTAGCATTTTGATCAGATCAAAGAATATATTGCTGTCAATGAGATATGAACGCCAGCTAATGGAGAGTCAGAGCATGTGTGCGAAACGCGAAACAGATTCAATCAGAAAAACTAACAAATGCATCAATGTAAACAGGTCAAATAAAAATAAAAATAAAAATGAAAACTGTGTTCTCAGACAACAGTGAGAGTCAGAGCATGCGCATGGACCATGGGGGCGACTTTTCAATTTTTTTTATAGAGATGAAATCCAAAGTCGCCCCCGGTTAAATAGTGTTGCCGAGATTCATCTCAACAACATAAAAAAGGGATAGATACACGTGACCGTGATGAGATAGCTTCATCAATTGAACAATCGAAATATCATCAGTCCATCAAGAGCTAATACATACCTCGCTGCGGTGGCTTGACAAAAACATGGATCGTTTTCCTTGGAAGTTCAGAATTAAATATCTCCCAAAGCTATTGACGCGGGTGCGAGAGCCTCTTTTGACTCGATTTCTGGCTCGACGACGGTCTTGTCTTCGTCAGGGATGGAGACCTTGTAGAGGGTGAGCCGGTAAGCGTCAATATCCTTAAATGCATTGGCATTCTTTGCTTTGATGACCTCCTTGAGTATTCCGACCGATTTATCGGAGGAAATCCCTACTGGGAACGACGTTGCTTCTCCCTCAACAACGCAGTTCAGCTCCAGCAGCAGTGGTTCATTGAGTGTGGAGGCATCCTCAGGCTTATTTGCAGTCATTGTTCTTTGTGCTTGGCTCCTTGTGGAATCATTTGCAGCCATGTTTTTTTGTGTTGAGCTCCTTGTGGTGGCCATTGAAAATTAAGATGAGTGGGACTGAGTGTGGTTGAAATGCAGGGAGAATGATGGTTAAATAGCCAAAGGTATATTCTATACTCTTTCACCCGTGGTCGCTGTATGAAAACAAAAATGAAAAATGTGTAAGGCAAAAAAAAAAAAAAAGGAAAGGAAAGGAAAGGAAAGGAAAGGAAAGGAAAGGAAAGGGAAGGCAATAGATGAAGGCTTGGAATAAATAAAAGAGCAAAATTGATGGGAGCAAAACTGGGGTGAAATATGAAAAAAGTGAAAAAAAAGAGTAAAGGAAGAGGGAGAGAGTGCAAAAATGAAGTGAAGCAAAGGAAAGGAGCGACAATTGCCTTTATTTTAAGGTTAGGCGATGTGTGAGAGAATATTTTTTTCAAATCAGCCACGTGCCATTTTCTTGGTCATTGTGGCGTGACAATTCTTAGTGCTCAGATAGACTAAACGTTTGTTCACACTCTACTTGCTCATTCCTCTGCTTACAACTGCTCCCCAGGAGGACTGAAATGATCATTGAAGGGGACATTTGGAAAGGATTATAAATTTGAATTTGCCAGATGTCAACTGATCACTTTTTCCGCTTTTACTTTAATACAACTTTGATTACAGTTTATGATAGCCTTAAAAGCTTCTATTGTAATTGAGCCCCGGAGAACGGTGCAGGACTGTTGTTAGAATGTCCACTGAAAGTTAAGTGGACTACATGTACTAGGACAGCAAGGACAAGATTGCCTGCGACAAAGTTGTGGTCCAAGCTGAGTCATTGCAAAGGCTTGACATGAAGTTCTATGGAGAGAACGTCGACTTGATTCTTGATGAGTTCAGCTCACTTTGCGAACAAATGACCAGCACAATGACCATGGACGACATGTACGGTGTAGGCAACCAAATCCTACGTGAGCTCATCAAGAGTGCATCCAGGGTAGTTTGCCTTGATGCCAACCTCACCAGTGATATGTGCAGGTTGTGGAAAGCCTGTGCGATGACGTATACGTTGTTCACAACACATTCAAGGTACAGAATGGTGATCAGGTAATGATGTACGAGACAGAAGAATTGTTAAAGCTTAAAGTGTTAGACTTGTTGTGGGATGCCAGGCGTATCTGGATATCGAGCATTCATAGCGCTGAAGATACTGAGGCATACATCAAATACTCCAGGAAAAAGGTTTCCATGGAATGTGTATGACCAAGAATACGTCGGAGGCTAGCAAGCGCGACATAGTCAAGAATATCAGCCCTCACATAGCTAACTTCAATTATTCTATCCATACTCCCACTATCTCGATGGGTATCGATAACAATGTTATCAAAGTCTAGACTGTGTCGTAGGATTCTTCAACACTCGTAGTGAGGTCAATGTGGAGACATGTAGACAGATGATGCGGTGTGCCAAGCATGTCAAGTCCAAAACATGTCTGATTCACGTCGATAGAGCCACAAACAATTTACCAACATCAGTTCAAGGCATCCGCAACTGCGGTATACTTATTCTATGTCTCTAGCGCGGCCTAAATAACAACTATACCAATGGGGTCAGTGTCGAGAACCTTATCAGATCAGCAATCCATGGAATGACGAAATTCAGTACGGAAATGATAAGGCGCGGAGTCCATGGCGGCGTTCAGACACATGAACACTGTCATGTTCGGACATCCATCTTTAATGCTTGAATTGAATATCAGTTCGCGGCACAAAAAGTTTAAATATATTGCAGCGGACATGGACTCGTATTCCCTGGTTCTTGTGAAAAGGCTCTACACTGGAGCTGAAAGCAAAACAAGCGATGCCCGGGACTCAAGCGTAGCATCGTTCAAACATGCTATGGGTAAAAAAATGGGAGAAATTGCGAGAACGGATTAAAGACTATGTGCAAGGCGGTCCCAGCCCGTTTCCTTGGACAGACTGCTTAGACCTTTGCAGATATGGTCAGATGTCATATGCGGGCATTTGTTTTCGAACTGAAGATAAGGGTTTATGTTCTAAGTGAAGTCATTGCATAGCTTATTATTTTCCTTGCAAAAACTATTATCATACTATTATACAAATCTCTTAGGTTTCAATATGGAGCTCAGAATGAGCTGTGAGTAAAGGTGGGTTATATCTCATAAATACAATTGATGAAAGTGGCACATCATCAACCCATGATGCAGTATCGGTATTTTGGATCCCTAATACAAAGTTATCTCCATCAAAGCGCCTCATCTACCTTCCAATGCTATTGTATAAAGACAGTTTCTGCACGGTCAGTGGAGACTACTTCCTGAAGATAATCTTAAGGAGGGACGTAAAATGTCTTTGTGGGGATTAAAGTCGCGCTTCGGCATCAATCTCTTGCTGTATTTATCATAAAAGAGCGAAGGTAAAAGGCTGATCCTTTATTTGCCTGAGCTGCACAAGTCCATGACATGGCAAGGAGGGCTTTCAGCGCGATCGTGACCATAATGCTGGCCAGAACATGGCCAATGCAGCCCTTCATTGGGTAAAAGGATTTCTGTGGCCGATCGCGCTGGACCGGGAGCTTGCGAAGCGCGAGAAGTGCTATGTGGAATAGCGCAAATAAATATGGCCCTGAGGTGAGAACTCTCATTTTTGTCCCGATTCGAAGTACATGCATGTGTTTTATTATATATTATATAATATTTTGTTTTAAATATTAATTGGTGTATAAATATTTCAATAAACCTTGATTTAAAGCCAACGTGTTATGGCCATTTTTAGTGGCGTGATCAAGTGGACCAAAATGAGCGATCGAATAAAATTCCTGTTTCACCATTTTAGCTCAATAACCTCTCAATAACCAATAGCCACGAATCAGGTAAGGGCGCAGTCCTTTTTGATTTTTTAAAATTAAGATTTTGGGTGGCTGTCCGTGCCTTGGATGAATTAGCTTTATGAATTCTATAAACAGCCAACCAAAAAAAAAAAAAAAAAAAAAAAAAAATTGCAAACAGGATACACAGAGCAAAAGGGTTAAAAAAAAAAAAAAAAAATAAAGTGTACATGTATAATACTGTAGATACATGTGTTATATGTAGATAATGTCAGCGAATATCGTCGTATACTTCATGATGAAGGGAAGCATTTGAGCAAATCAGGATCATCAAGATCAAGAGGATGTTTTCTTTTTTTTTGTTTTCAATCGATACTTTCTCTTTGCATGCATATAGTATACTACTCGACGCCATGGGGCCATTCACAAAATGGATTGGGTGTTGTTGATTGTAAGCTTGAACAACTTGGTCTCTTGGTCCATATAGTTACACACACAGGAAAGCAAATTAAAAAAAAGAGCTTGCATCCAAACATCCATCATTAACTATATCGTATATACCGTATCACGTTGCAGATATGCTTTTCTCTCTTTTATTTTTTTTTGTTTTTTTTTTTTCTGAAGGCATTTGTTTCCTCTCCTGTTTGTCCCAGAGAGGGTGTTGTCCCTTTTTCGTTTCATCCAAGAGAGCCTCCATTTACCTTGTTTAAATGCATGCCTCATGAGGTGTACATTCACGAAAAATGTACCTTTCCGGACATAAAAAGGACAGAGGTCCAGTGCAATTGTGTATAATAATAATGATAATATATTTATGTATTGATCATGATTATGATAATGATTATGATCGTCTACAATAGGCTTTTGTTGTGGACACTAGCCATTCAATCCATCCAAGCCCAGTATATGAATATTTTTCTTCTTTTCTTTTTGTTACGCTTTATTTCAGAAGAGAGTTGATCATTTCCCCCTCTCCCTGCCTTTTCCTCCTTGTCATTTTTCTTTTTTTTTTTTTTTTTTTTTTTTTTTTTAAAAAAAAAGTTAGTCCCTGAATGTCTGAGGAATGACCTGCAGACCCCGAGCAAAGGGCGAACAAAACTTCCCTTTTTTTAGATTGTTAATTAGAGCCCTTTTTGTTCAACTTGATCCATCATCTACTATATACATGCTTTATACATGTATCTGTGTAGATTGAATGCATTCTACTCTTTGGAAGAAAGAAGAATTTTCTCGAGCCTCTTTTTTATTTTTTTTTATTTTTTTTGTTTTCTAATGTATTAAAGACTTTCATGATTTCATGATTTTCATGGTTTTAATGCCAACTGTTGTGTTAAAGAAACTTTCGGGCTCATAGCCGTTAATGGCATACATCTATATAATAAACAAACATAAACATGTACATTTATATTCTGTGATAGGGTAGAAAGACTGGAGCTTTTTTTTTTTATTTTTTTTTTTAGGGACATCATAAACCTAAATAGTCTTTTTTTTTTTTTTTTTTTTTTTTTTTTCAGGAACAATCATGAATAACGGAGAATTCATAAAAAAAAAAAAAAAAAAAAAAGATTAGACGGAAAGAGGTGGTTACATGCGCATGCAGGCAATACAGATGATCATGACGAGATCCAAAGGAGACATTCTCTTTATCTCTTTTGATGAGAATGTCTAAACTTGTTCATCATCTGTTACGGACACAGCATAGAGATTGCGCCGCAATCCAATCTATTTGAAATAGTTCCTCTTCCCCCTTTTTCTCTTTTCCCTTTGCTCATGTCAGCAATTCAAATAATTCCCTGCCCTGCAGGACATCTTTTCTGATCCTCTTTTTTGCCTTTTCCCCTTCTCCCCCTATCTCTTCTTTTATTTCTTTTATTTCTTTTTATTTTATTTTATTTTTATTTTTTTTTATTATTATTTTTTTTATTTTTTTACTGAAGAATGTAGATTTAGTTGAGGGTATTGGTGTGTGATTTTCTTCATACCGATCGATGTGGTTGACCTTTTTAAAGACATGGCCAATAGAAAAGAGCCTAAGAAAAAAGTGTGCCTGCGAACCTGCGTAAAATGTAAAAAAGTAAAAAAGTAAAAAAAAAAAAAAAAAAAAAAAAAAGTAAAACCATAAGAAAACAATAGAAAAGGCTTTTGTATTGCAACTAGGACATTATTAATAAGGGCGACAGAGGGAACCACCTCCCTTAGAAAAGACGCATAATGAAGTACGAAAAAAAAAAAAAAAAAAAAAAAAAAAAGGAGAAAATGCGTCTTTGAACAGATCCACCGGAGATCAGGGATAGATTGATTGATATATTTGTATAATTGAATAGAATCTTATTAATAATAAAGCAACCAACCCTTTGTCACACATCCCTTACTCTTTAAAGCGAAGGACGAGGGGAATACCGTTGTTTTTCCATTCAACTTCAAGTTGCCTCTTCAATGGAGATGTGCGGAGGTGACTCTCTCTTTTCTTTTTTCTTTTGCCAAGATTGATTATTAAACTCAAAGGCATGGCACAAAAAAGAAGAAAAAAAAAAAAAAAAAAAAAAAAAAAAAGTTTCCCGATTTCCGTTTAATCATTGCAATCCTGTTTTTATCATTGACCAAGGGCTGTGGTGCATATGAATGGTGAACAGCATGAAAAGGAACAAAAGGAAAATTCATATAAATATATATATATTTATATAATATTTATATAAAAACATGAATGATGCGCGCCGCACCAAGCTGTGCATCCTGACTGTAAAGACGTGCTCCATTCAGGGTAAAATCGGATTTTTTTTATGACGAGTATCAAAAATAAAAAATAAAAAATAAAAAAAAAAAAAAAAAGATGCGCGGTTGCACAGTACACTCTGACCATTTACCATGTGGGTTGAAAAGCGAAGCTCAGAGGGGATGAGCCAAGGGTTGACTAATCCGATTGAACCAAGAATAATCGGGAGGAAATAAAATCGTCCGCACATCTTCCTCCCAATCTTTACCGCTTCATTTTTTTTTTTTTTTTTTGAAAAGGACAGAGTGAGGCATCGCTGTAGAGGACATGTAGGAGCGATAGAGATGGCATAGGCCAGCATTGATGTCAATGTTGATGTACAAGGAGGTCAAGTGCCCTGACAATGTAAGCAAAAGTATATAACTTGCTTGAATATGGATGGATGAATGAATCATTTTCCCCTTTATTATATTTCTATTTTATTTCATTCTATTATGTTATAGACATCAATATATATATATATATTCTACTGTAGTCAAGCCAAGCTTTTTGTTCTCCATCGCCACCTTTTTCTTTATTTATTTGCCCACCGATATTGAAGTGAAGTCGACAGTGTTTCTAAGCATGAAAAGCAAGGCAAAGCAATCGATTTAATGAGATATTCTAAAATAGAAATAAAATTAAAAAGAATAATTGACTGAATTAAATTAGATTGAATTGAATTAAAGTATAGTATAGTATACATTTAACCTCAAATATACTTTCTGTTTCTTTTTCTTGCTTCACACTCACACTCACACTCACACTCACACTCACACTCACACTCATACTCACACTGACACTCACACTTTTTTTTCCCCCCTCATTTCTCTCATTCACTTTTTTTTTTTTTTTTTTTTTTTTTTTTTTTGTTTTTCACTCATTCAGACCATTGACCCAACAGTGATCACCTCCATTCCTCCCAATTGAGCCCTTTTCTCTTTTTCTTGCTTCTTGCTCATCTCTACCCAACGTGGTTCCTCCACAACACCTTTCTTTCCTTTCTATTTCTTTTTCTGTCCAAATCCACGTTCGACCCTTCTTCCAACCTCCAATGGACTTTACATTCACCTTCTTTCAATCGTCTGCAACGATACCACCACTCACCTTCCTCGCATCCCTCGCATAACTCTCAAGCTTTTTTTTTTTTTTTTTTTTTTAACTACAGTTACTACTCTTACCTTTTCTACACCAACAACGAATTGCAGTAACCACAACGACACTATCGCAACAACAAGAACAAGGCCCTTTTTATCTTCTTTTCTTTTTCTTTTTCTTTATTGTAGCAATCAATTTCACTAGTTCTTATACCACCAACTAAAATACCATCCGTTTACTATTAAGGAACAACGCAGACACGCTCAATAACTTTTTTTTTCTTCTTTTTCTCTCAACACTCTTCGATCCCCATACTGACCAATTATCCGAGCATTTCCCTTTTATTCCCTTTTGATTTCGAGTTACCGCATAATACATTCATCTGTTACTCTTTACCTTTCTACAAGAACTTTTTTTTTTTTTTTTTTTTTTTTTTTTTCCTTTTTTCTTTTTTCTTTCTTCTTTCTTCTTTCTTCTTTATTCTTTTTTCTCAAGGAAAAAATACGAAAACAAAAAAAAAAAAAAAAAAAAAGAAAAAAAAAAAACAACAACAATCTAAAAAGCACGACCTTTAGCATTTGACGAATACCATTAGCCCGCAACGTCCAATTGAATCGAATCGAATTAATCAATCCAACCTTACGAGAAACGAAAACGAAAAGGTAACAAAGGAAAAAAAAAAAAAAAAAAAACGCTTTTTTTTTTACATGTCCCCCCTTTCATTATCTATTCTTATTCTGGTGGATCACCATTTTACCCTGGTACACACATGCATACATTTTATTATGGTCACAACCAGCCGGTTTATCGGTCAGGTAATGAGCGACTGGGCATAGGTGGAGATGCAGGTTTCTTTCTCCTTTTTTTTTTTTCTTATCTCCAACCTCTTTCTTTCTCTCAAATATGATATGGTGATGATGATGATGATGATGATGATGATGATGATTGCTTTTGAACAATTTGTCCAAGGCCATGTGTGGTGTGAGTACGAGGATGCATGTATGTCCTGGTCCAACCCTGTTGAGCCTATGTTTTTCAATTTATTTTATTTTTTGATCCCCCTTCTTTAAAGACATGAACTATTTGTAGTAAGGAAAAAAAAAAAAAAAAAGAATCCTGAAGGGTTAATATCAATGTGCATGTGCATGTGTATGTCCTTGTCTCTGTCATCGATTCTCAAGTGAAATGTTGTGTACCAATCTATCAATTATACATTTTACAGGCAAATCCTTAAAGGGATCATATCCACGTCCTGTGGACCTGTTTTAAGATCGAGCTAACGACTAGAGTGAAGAGAGAGAATGTGGAGAGAGTAAGAGTAAGAGTAAGAGAAAAAAGAGCTTATTAGAGAAGGAACACTCCTGGATGCATTTCACTACACATACAAGCTAATGTCTTGTTGCTCTGAAGCATCTTCTCCTTTCCTTGGCAACCTGTGTTATCTACACCATAGTCATGTCTTTTTTTTTTTTTTTTTTTTTTTTTTTTTGTTCAATTATAAACTCGTTATATGTCTTGACATTTTGCTACGCCTTCGATTCTTTGGATTGACAGCAATAATGAACAAGTGGAGCAAATTGATCTTGCCGCTTCTCTCTTTCTTTGTCTCTCTTTACTCCTTCAACTCCTTCCCCTGTCCAAACTCACTGGTGTCTTTTACAAGAGTATCATTTGCTATTCCTTGGTTTTGACCCAGCCCATCCATTGTAAATCAACCTTTTAAATCTTTTTTATTTTTTATTTTTTATTTGTTGTATTGTTATTTGACGTTGTAAGATATACATGTACTTTATGTTATTGCAATCTGGCTTTCTTTTTTGTCGTAATCATTCATTGTCGTCTCGTCTCGTCTTGTCTTGTTTGTGTGTGGTTTTGTTGATTTGCTTCCTGTGTCCCAGCTTGTCCTAAAAAATGAAATGAGCAACACAAGACTTTTGTTGACCGTACCATGCATTTGGTTGGGCATCACCTGTGCCTCTTTTTATTTATTTATTATTTCTTTTATACATAATTTCTATTTTCTTGAAGTACACATTTTATACAAAGCATGTAATACATACTGTCCAAGCAAGCAATCGCACGGCTTTTTTTTTCTTTTCTTATGCTGTTCATTTGCGCTTCATGCTTTGCTTTTTCTTTTACTTTATGCTTCAGGCTTGGTTTGATTGTTTTGAACTGTTTGGACGTTTTTTTTATTTTTTATTTTGTATTTTATATACATTTATATTCTATTATTATTATTATTATTATTATTATTATTATTATTATTATTGTTATTATTATTTTGTATTGCTTTGTCAAGAAGTCATTTTGAGTTGTGTTGTTCATCATCATTGATCATTGTCATGATCATACAGCTTGTATTGAATACCCATCTCATTTACATCCTTTTTTCATATATTTATATATTTAAATATTTTAAATTTTAAATTATGCTGAAGCTTCTTTGCCTTGAACCGCAGACACACTTACATGAACTGCGGTATCTGCTCTCATACAGTTCTTTCTACGTGCCAGTCAGTGCGAGCTGTGTGTGTGTACTCGTCCTTTACTTCTCCAACGCCGCTTTATGCTTTTTACTTTTTGCTTTTTGCTTTCTCCTTTCCTCTCACTCTCTCTCACACTCTCTCACACTCTCTCTTCTTTTTCTCTTCTCTCTTCTCTCTTATTATTATTATTATTAAAATTATTAAAATTATTATTATAATTTTTATTACACATGAATATATAAATACTGTCATCGTTCCCCTTTCTCTCTTCATCGTTTCTTCTTTTCCTAATCCCACCTAAATAGCCTTTGCACCCCTTCCTTTCGCTCTTCTGCCTGGTTTATTCCACCCTTGTATCTCTTTCTCTCATTACTCCTACGCGGAGCCGATCACCTTTTTTCTTCTCCTGACCGTGGTCCTGCATCACAACCACACATTCACTCACGTTCTGCTCTTTTTTTTTTTTTTTTTTTTTTTTTTTTTTTTCCTTTTTTTCTTTCAGTCACAACAACGAAATAGTAACAGTCAAGGAAGGATCTTCATATTAACTATCTTCATCATCACCGATTCTCCTTTCTTTTTTTTTCCCTTCTCCAACCGTCCTTCGATCTTAATCCTTCTCCAGAATATTTCCGCAATGGCCGCCCGAATTCAACAGCACCGCAATATCATTGTCATCCCACGAGACATTTATCAAAAATGTACGGAAGATCTACCTCTTCCCCGACCGAGGCCACTAAGAGTTACCGACGTTACAAGAAACCGCCTCCTGAACAATCCTGGCCATAGTGCACCAACAGAGGACTACGCCACGACTTCGAGGGAAGCCTCCGACGGATCCACGACAGATGTCATGCCCACATCCCCCAATCACACTCACATCTCCTACCCCTCTTCCCCTTCACTCACCTCCTCATTATCGTCCTATTCCTCCTCAACGTCCTCTTCATCCTCTTCATCCTCCTCCCTCTCCTCCGACACTTCCTCCTCTGCACCTTCAGTGAGTGGCTCATCATCCAGATATCAAGGAAACAATGCTGTTACCATTGGTGGGAGCATTGCCACCATCCATTTACGAAACCTCGCTTTGATTCCACCCAAGAAGAGGAAACTCTCTGTTGCCCCTGCTTCTCACACATCCAGGGAGGATGAAACATCTTTTCCACCAACTAATAAGAAGCTCAAAATCGATCCAAAGAATATCAAGAATAACAGTCATCGTCATCAACAACACAACAAGGGTCACCCTTCATCATCCTCCAAGCAGGTGCCTGTGCGAGAAGTCATTGTCATTTCATCCGATGACGACGATGATGAAGAGATGGATCAAGTCCAGAAAGATAAACATCCCAAGCAGGGAGTGCCAACAGCTGTTTCACCAACAACAGACAGCCATCATAAATATGAGCTTGACCCTGTTTTCCGACGAGTTGTGGATTCTATCTTCCCCGTCTTTGAGGCACACAACAAGGCCACACTTGAACGAGCCTTTGCGACGAGTAGAATCCTCCGAGAGGACTACATTGTCACCCGTTATTTGGGAAGTGGAGCCAGTGGTTTTGTACTCGCTGCCAAGCGTGTTTTTGATGGACGCGAGGTAATTTGAGTTTTTTTTTTTTTTTTTTTTTTTTTTTTCACATGGTTGTACGGAAATCTTCATTGTACTAATTCACTCTTGGTTTATTGTCTGTGCACTTTACATATATATACTATACTTTATAAAGGTCGCAATCAAGGTCATTCCCCACACTGGGGATCATGTGGAGCAGAAAGTGCAGCGAGAGCTGGACATCTTGTTGCGTCTGAAGGAGCATGAGAACATCCTTGAGTTCTATGAACATTTCACCTCCTCCCTCTATGGTGATATCGATCCAAACGACCAGTCCAACAAGGACATCTCGTACATTGTAGCAGAGATGGGAGGGTTTTCACTCTTTGATTTTATTGAGCTACACAAGCCTGTCCAAGATGAGGATGCATCCACGCGATCCAAGAATCTTCAGGAACTACCACGGTCCACGTCCGAGCCACCATCCATTTATACCTCAACCATTCAAGAGAGTGCACTCCGGTCCATTTTCACTCAGCTTGCACGTGCGCTTCATTACCTGCATTCGCAGAATATTGTCCACGGTGACATCAAGGACGAGAACGTGCTGATCAGCATTGACAGAGCCACGAACACATACCGCGCCAAGCTCTGTGACTTTGGTCACTCAAAATACTTGACGCCAGGAAGCTCTCCTTGCTTCTCGTTCTACGGAACCACCATCTTGGCTCCGCCCGAGATGGACAATAACGTAGCAGCACGTCAGAAATCGAAGCAGCCCAGTAGCAGTGGCAGACGCCATGGTGGCAACAACAGTAGCCACGCCACGAACTGGGATTTATACCATGGCTACGAAGCTGACGTGTGGGCACTGGGCTTGACACTATATACCATGATCCATGGTGACTTGCCCAAGGAGCTGTACGAGACCGACAAGAAGAAGGTTGCAGCGTACAAGCGTAAGAGGGCATCCCATCGGATGTTCCCTTTTACGCTGCAAGAGGACATTGACCCAGGTATGGTTCAAAAAAAAAACTTGCACAGATCTTTTCTTAACAAGACTTTTTACATTATGAGCATGTCTTTCTAACTGAATGATTGGAATATATATTTATTTATTTATTTTAATATAGATCTTAAGGATCTGGTCAAGAATATGCTGGCTGTGGACCCAGCACGGCGTCTGACGATGGCCCAGGTGATCAACCACCGTTGGGTCATCGGAGAGTCGCAATAGAGTCGCGTCGTGTCGTGTCGCGACGCGACTCTATTTTTCTTTTATTATTTTTCTTTTATTTTATTATTTTATTTTCTTAATTTTTCTGTGGATGTCTTCCATTCATCATATCCATCACATCCACAATCTCCATTTTTTTTTTTTTTTTTTTATGTCTTTTTATGTTTAATTTCATTTTATGGTTTTTTTTTTTATTGCATTTGCGCATTTATTGTTGTCATTGCTGCTAATGTTATCACTGTATCTATTATTCTTGAAACATTTGTTTTTATGCTTTTTTTTTTTTTTTTTTTGCTTTTTCTCTATCTAAATGAATTAGTCTGATGTTGCTGACTTGCCGAGAAAAAAAGAAAAAAAAAAGTCATTTTATAATCACTCCCCTCTCTACCTTAACGCCGTGTACTTTGTACTTTTTATATCCTTATTTTTTTTATTTTTTATTTTTTTCTGTTAATAATATCCTATACCAGCAGCAACTCTTTTTTAGTCTATTTTATTTTACTCATGATACAATCGTAATAAATAAAAAACTAGAGCATTATTAGCTTTTACCTGGAATTGTAAAAAAAAAAAAAAAAAAAGTAGTAATTTGTTCTCGATCTCTGTCTCCTTTATCGATGACGCCAAGAAGAAAAAAGCGCATTGCAAACGTCAATAAACGTACTGATTTATATTCATGTTTATATTCGCAATCGCATTCATTAATATATACATTCATATGTCTTTCTATAATAGTTATATGGATTCCCATTTAATCGGTCAAAAGAGGAAGAGAGATAGATAGACAGAGAGAGAGAGAGAGAGAGAGAGAGAGAGAGAGAGAGTCTTCTTTTTCGGTTGTGTTTCGGAGATTTGTGGATCCTAACATTCTGCTTCGATGGTAGAAACATATTTTACATTATTTGGGTAAATGCAAAATAAATAAGTAAAATAAAATAGAATAAAATAAAATAGAATAAAATAAAATAAATCAATAAACACCTGGTGATCATCTTGAGGGTCCTGATCACCCCTCTCCCCCTTTTTTTTCATCTCTCTCTCTCTCTCTCTATCTTTCTCTTCATCCTCATCCTGCCATTTCTGTTATTGGCTTTTATTTTTGAGGGGTGGGTAGCTAAAGGCGACTGTTCGGACTCCATATGATACTATGATACTGTATAAACACTTGAACACTGCTACACGACATTGACCTCTACGTCCCTTAAACAATATTCCTAGCATACATCCGAACTTTTGCAAGGGATGTGTCAATGCTTCGACAAACATTTAACATTTAATGGCTACATCACAGCCCTTGGGATGTGGAAGCACTGAAAGTATACGGAAAACGGGAACCCATTTGTGTTTTTACTAGCAACAAGCGTGGCTTCAAAAAGTTTGCCCTAAGGAACAAATCCTTTATCCTTCATTGCTCAAAAGAGACAATGCTGTCTTTTCTGTTTTATTGTTTTGAACAACACAGTATATCCTGTCCATTCGAAGTAGTCCCCTCTGGATGATGACAGCTATTCAGGGGATGCTTATCAGTTCCGCTAAATTACGGTGAAATCAGAGCAGATTTGGAAAATCAACAAGCATCGAACAGTCGCCAAAGCATTTCCCCATTAACGCAAACCTGCATGAACGAAATGACAAATCTGCCCTGCTTTTATTCTTTTTTTATTTATTTCATAGTTATTTTTATATCTAAAAGTAAAAAAGAAGTAAAACAAGATACCTTCTCCAAAACTAAGCTTTTTCTTTTTCTTGATCACCCTGACTGACTCGGAAATGCGATCATCAGGAGGAAAGGAGGAGAGGGAGGAGGGGGGGAGGGAGGGGGAGAGAAGTTGGCCTAGGATATACTCCTCCTTCTTTTCCTTTAAGTGGGTGAATGATGACCGGGGAGAACCAATCCCAGATCGGATTCAAGTCCTTAGTTTCTTGAAGATTCAAAGCCATATATATATTTATAACAGAACTATATGGATCAACACAAAAAAAAAAAAAAATAAAAAAAAAAAAATAAAAAAAACGCGGATTGGAAGATTGAGAAGAGCGTTGATTGCGTGGTTATAACTATTCACTGAAAGAGCTCTAACAGAATGTGCTTAAGGAAGGTGGTTCTATCAGAGTAACAGATAGAGTTATGTACATTTGTATTGATTAAATACTTACCAGTTAAATTGATTTTCTATGAATTAAACAATGTGTCCTATCTAAAAACCATAGAAGGCAGTCCAACCGAGGACTCCTCCACTGTGGTTCTAGTAGTTACGTGCTAAAAAAAAAAAAAAAAAAAAAAAAAAAAAAGCGTCATGCAATTTTTTTTTTTTTTGTTCATGTCGAAATTCCCACAAGGCATTCCTTTTTTTTTTTATTTAAAAAAACTCTGCTCATTCTCACTCGCTTCAGCAAAAAGGGACATTAATATTATACGTTATGCACCACTACGGTCCTATGAAGCCAAAGGCTCGGCTGTTGCTCTGCTTGGTAACAACGCTTGCGTTCTTGACAGGCCAAGGGAACTTTGGCTATAACGCAGGCAGGAAGACTATAGCCATTGTAGATGCACAACTAGTGGTACCATTCCTACAGGACACACCATTATCGCCATCATCACCACCACCTATGCATCTTCGAGGCCCACACACCAATAAAGGGCTCAACATTCAGGAGGTATTTTCTCAGGATTACAACATGGATGATAGATATAAGAAAACAGAAGGGGAGAAGAAATTCAAAGATGAGGATGACAACTCCAATAGTCTTGCAGACCTGCGCACAGAGGCAGAAGTTAGGAGCGCATTGGAGGAGGAGTGCAGGCAATTCTTATCGGAACCCACGTCATCAACATTCATTGAAGCAGAAATAAAGAGAGACGCGTTCCCTTCATCGGAACCCCCTCCTTCTCGCTGGAGGCTCTGGTATCGGAACCCTGCAAAGAATATTAAGGAAGAAGGGCTTCTGATGAGTAATGGTGGACGGGTACGAGTGTTGGTCGGTGGAGGGATTAACCAAGAGCGACTTGTGTTGAATGAAGAGAGCTGCTGGTCAGGAGGACCTGGATACCCTGAACAGGGACCGCAATCTCAACCGCAATCTCAACAACAACAACAACAACAGCAGCAGCAGCAGCAGCAAGAGTCCATGGATACTAATGTTGGGTACAATTACAAAAACAACAGCGGTAAAATCAACAACAACAACAATAATAATAATAATAATAATAACAGCTACTACTACGATCGTGAAAGCGAAGGAGATAATGTGTACAGAGGCGGAAATGTAGCAGAGAGTGAAGCAGAGGCAAGGCAAAAGGCGCTGGGGGGATTTCGAAAGGCATTGGATGAGAGGCAAGTGATTAAAACATCCATGCCGATCGTCAAAACATTACAAGGGGATGAACGTGGGTTTGGACGGCCCGAGGCATTTGGTGAGATCTTGATCAGCGAGTTACGCCCGTTCGCAATAGTAGAGCAATATAAACGTGAATTAGATCTGGAAACTGGAGTCATTAGGGTGACCTTCTCGGCACAAGGTGTGGACTACAGCAGGTAATAGGCAAGCCCGGGAAAAAAAAAAAAAAAAAAAAAAAAAAGGAAAGTTAATCACCCTCATGTGGTGAGGACCTTCAAGCTTCTGCATGGTCTTTTTACTTTTTACTAATATACTCATTTTTTTTTTATTTTATTTTTTTTTTTTTACTTTCTTTCTTTTTAGAGAGTATTTTTGCAGCTACTCAGAGTCAACCTGTGTGATGCGTATGCAAGCCTCTGAACCAAAGTCTATGAACCTCAAAGTTTCGCTCAAATCACATCAAGAAAACAATCTCGAGTACACCAATATTCATAACCGGCTAGGATTCCGAGCACAGCTGCAATCCAATAACATGATAGTTGAAGCACAAGTCGCAGTCAAGGCTGAGGGGGCCACGGGGGTGTCCATGTCCAACAGTCGAGAAGTGATAGTGTTAGGATTTGACACGGTGACTCTATACTACAGTTTGGGCACGAACTGGGATACAAATGAGTATCCAACTTTTCGGGGCAAGGATCCACACGTTCGCTTGCTCAATGTGATCGATAAGGCGCTTTCCATGTTTTATAACGATCAGCTCCAAAAGTATCTTCAAGAATACCAAGCTTTATTCCGGAGATTTGAACTGGATCTGGGCCAACCAGCGACTACTCAACTGGCAACAGACGAATTAGTGGAGGCGAGCCGGCATGGGAAAGCAAAAGATGAGGATGAGAGCTACTTGGATGGGTTGATTACACAGTATGGCCGGTATTTGCTCATCTCCTCTTCCCACATCGGATCTTTACCAGTGAGTGGGCGTCATGTCTGGGGTGCTGATGAAGAGGATGGAAAGTTAGTTGAGGACTCGCCAAGGTAAAAATGGTTTTTTCGCTTTGTCCTTTTCTTTTTCCTTATGTATATTTTAAGCTCTCACTTACTCAAAAGCTTTTTAAAACATTTAAACTCTGCTTTTTATTTTCTCTTTCGACCTCCTAGCCTTGGCTACAAAATGAATATTGATCTGCAGATGAACTATTGGCTGGCAGAGGGGACAGGGCTTGGCGAGACAGTGATACCGCTGCTCGACTATATCGAGAAACTGCTCGTCCCTCGTGGCCAAGAGACAGCTAGTCTTCATCATGGAGTCCGCGGATGGATGACACATACATTCTCCAATATCTGGGCACATACGGGTCCTACAGCTCAACCAAATTCATTCTATTTCCCGGCTGCAAATGCTTGGCTCTCTCAACATGCATGGGAGAGGTATCTCTATAGTCAAGACTATAATTTCTTGAGGGATCGTGTGTACAAGGTGATGAAGGGAGCAGCACAGTTTTGGATTGATTCTTTAGCGCAACAGTATCCGCAACAGCAGCAGCAGCAGCAGCAGCAGCAGCAACAGCAACAACCATCTCATTGCAATGGCTCGCGTGTGATATCCCCATCATATTCTCCAGAGCATGGTCCCTTCACAGTTGGCTCTGCATTGGACCAACAATTGGTCTGGAATCTATTGAACTCGACATTACAGGCGACTACAATTATTGGTGAACGGGACAAGGACTTTATTCAAAACCTAACAGAGACTTTGAGCAATTTATCACCGGGATTCAAGATCGGACAGTGGGGTCAGTTACAGGAATGGGATTTGGATTTGGATGATCCTAACAACGCTCATCGACACTTAGCGCCGTTCTGGGCCGTTTATCCAGGACAGGCCATCTTTGTCCAACCAAAAGGGCCCACAGGCGGCGAGGGAGGATGTGAAGCTAATCCGGGCCGGGAAGAGCTATTGGAGGCTGCCAAGATGACGCTTGAACGGCGACGTATGGGAACAACGGAGGAGGACTTGGGATGGCCTAAGAGCTGGCGTGCAGCTGCATGGGCTCGGCTTGGCAATGGGACAATGGCTAATAAAGCACTGAAGCTGTTCAAGGAACATAATCTCAAACATACGAACTTGTTGGATTTTGATGAGGGGTACTCTGGACTGTTAGGGATGGCTGCAGCGATAGTGGAGATGGTGATACAAAGCCAATCACCGGGTTCTGTGGATGTCTTGACTTGTGCAGAGACAGGGTTGCCAGATCGATGGTTGAATCAGGGATCTGTTCAAGGGTTTAGGACGAAAGAGGGACATACTGTAGCCGTGAGCTGGCAAGGACGAAAAGTCAAGGTTGTAGAGACTGAGGCAACCTTAAAGGGCTCAGTGTTGACAGTGAGGATTGGAACAATGAAAGGAGAAGATGTGACGCCAAATGACAAGATCCATGTGTCCATCAAGGGCTCAACAAAGACACCTGTATATTCCCGTGAAGAGGACACGATTGTGTTAACTATGGCTAAAGGCCAGATATATGTCATCGAGATTGATACTTGAATGAAATAAAATAATAAAAAATAAAGTCCTAAACAAGTGTCTCCGCTTTGACGAGGAAAGCGTCTGTAAGGGCTCTATCCTTGAACAGCACATGAGGCAGGAGGAAAACAGGTTTTTATGGATGCCTGTTAACTTAAAAAAAGAAAAATGTATTATTGGTGAGTAGCCCGATAATGAGTCGAACTTTGGGATTTTTTGAGTGCGCCATGGGCCTAGTTCAACGCGTAAGGTTATTATTATTATTATTATTATTTGCAAGTGATATGGTAAAGGCTTCCAAGTGTAAATAAACAGCAACTAACATGCGACATAAGATGGCACAAAAAGACTCACCAGTGAAATCAAATGGGAGTCAACTGAGGGCAAACACAGCGAGCTTTTTTTTTTTTTTTTTTTTTTTTTTTTTGTACACACCTTGGTAATGGGGATATAAATGTATAGCCAATGACACCAAAATATTGGCAATGTAGTATAAGCTGTGAAGTACGTGATGGCTCACTAGCCAATTAGGCCAGATCACGGGCTTCAGGCACAGAGCGAGTGCGAATTTTTCTAGGCGAATCCAAGATCTGGTGTCTCAGCTAGCACAAAATCTGGGCGAATACATATATATAACGTGTTGTACACAAAAGAACAACATCTGAGCGCGTGAGAGAAAAATTTTATTTTGTGAGTCTAACTAGGTTTGACCTTGCTTGCTAGTAGTTCGTTTGTAGATCATTCTTCCTTTTGTAGCCAAGACTAAAAAAAGACAAAGCGAAAAAACCATTTTTACCTTGGCGAGTCCTCAACTAACTTTCCATCCTCTTCATCAGCACCTCAGACATGACGCCCATTCACTGGTAAAGATCCGATGTGGGATGAGCAGATGAGCAAATACCGGCCATACGTACTGTGTAATCAACCTATCCAAGTAGCTCTCATCCTCATCTTTAGCTTTCCTATATTGTAAGCAATATCTCCATCACCCCCCTGATTCTATACTATTTAAGCTGAGGATTTCTCTTCAACCGTACAATCCATTATCAGAAAGATATTCAATGAAACGAGAAATAGAATAAATTTATTGGAACGTATTGAATGTTTTCTTATGTACGGCGCTCCCTGGGATGACCAATGCACCACACAACTGGACTGAGCAGTGGCAAAATGTTTCACAGGCCTCCCATGATTAATCCCGCTCGGTCCTTGATGTTTCCAGTCAGTGACCTGTACTGATGTACTGAACATTCGTACTGAAGTTTTTTTCAGTAAATTTTTACTTATTATTTACTTATTATTTACTTACACATCGGTAAAAAAAAAAAAAAAAAAAGTAAATTTTGAGTAAAACAAAAGTATATTTCGAGTAAAAATCAGTAAGTACTTACTGAAAATATACTTTTTACTTACTTTTGTTTTACTGATATTTACTGAAAATATACTTTTGTTTTACTGATATTTACTGGAAATATACTTATTATTTACTTTTGTTTTACTCAAAATTTACTTTTCTTACTTTTCTTTCAGGGGGCCTGCACTTGAATTCCCCGTATATGCACGAGCAAACCAAAGCCACTTACTGATGGGTCTCCACATATGCATGTGGATAGGCTGTCATGGACACACGTTGTTCAGAACATGAGATCAACTTCTATCAAGTATTCAGCGTGCTACCATGATTAAAAGCGACCACCTTCATTTCATGTTGATAGACATGCTTTTCAGGACTTTTTACTTTTTTTTTTTTTTTTTTTTTTTTTTTGCAGACATAGTATATATAGCCCCGTTTCATTTGGTCATGATACCTTATATTTTTTAAATTGATTGAATAGGCTCCAGCGAAAATTGAATTGTATTGAATAGCAACTCTAATTCTGATGTCGTTCGCTACTTGCAAGCTTGGCTCGCTGTCCTCTATTTGCACGCCTAGCGGCGGAAGAGGTCAGTGGCTTTGACGTTGAATAACTGTTATGCGTCATCATGTTTTGCTTCCGCTTCCTTGCCTTCACTCTTAGCTCTCACGCAACGCAATCAAACATGATGATCGTCAAATTCACAGAGTTCCATCAAGTAAGTAGTAAACATTATCTTTTTTTATCATTTAGCTGCGCTTCCTAATTATCTGTAAGTAATCTCTGGTTTCTTACAATGAATAGACGCGGACTTTTTCGATCCAATGAGAACATCGCAGCTTCCTTCTCCCTTTTCTTTTCTTTGACCTTGAAGGTCGTTACAAGGAGACACCAGATGTTCTGCTGATTCGAACCGGCCACTGTACTAGTGGGGAAGCTTTTGAACAGATCTTTGGTCTTGTGCAAAAGCTTCAGCCCCCCGGTAATTAAGAGTCTGTCAAGCATCTGAATCTTTCTTTTTCTTTTTTTTTTTATTCTTTTCTTTGACCTTGAAGGTCGTTACAAGGAGACACCAGATGTTCTGCTGATTCGAACCGGCCACTGTACTAGTGGGGAAGCTTTTGAACAGATCTTTGGTCTTGTGCAAAAGCTTCAGCCCCCCGGTAATTAAGAGTCTGTCAAACATCCGAGTCTTTTATTTTCTTTTTCTTTTATTTTCTTTTTCTTTTATTTTCTTTTTCTTTTCTTTTTCTTTTCTTTTTCTTTTTCTTTTCTTTTTCTTTTTCTTTTCTTTTTCTTTTTCTTTTTTTTCCTCCGAAATATGGCTCTGCCTTGGTTCCTACTATCTCCTGTCGGCTCCTTAGGTTCGACCACAAGTTGCCGTATGCTCTCCGTCTCGGAAAAATGGATAAGGATGTGATCCTTTGCATGGTACTACAAACGCATGGCCTTTATTCAAACCTGCAACCTGCAACTCGATATCAAAACCGATTTTAACTTACTATCATATACTCTGTATTAATATTAGATCAATCAAGATTTCATTCGTTTGCACACTCAGATGATTAGCAGTTATCGGTCTGCGGTTTTTGTTGAGGGGCATGGATGAGGGTATCGTGGGCAAGACTCTTGACGGATTTGTTTATAATTCGTTGGAATAGCAAGAAGCATCAGGCATTAAAGATGAATAGTACAATAAACAATCCTTAATGAAGCAATTTATTCTGATCTCTTGCGCTTTCTATCCTTGAGCTTGCAGAGGTGAAAAGATGGCCTCACCCATGTATGGGCATGTTTCACCGCGCCTGTAACGCTCGCGGGTCGCCCCTCGACAGCTTCCTTGGCTTTCAAGTAAGGTGCCTTTGTAGCCTCCAGAATTGGCACTGCTTCTGCAATTACTCCAAGGCTCTTCTTATCCTTGGGCAGTGTGACCTTGCCCAATAGTCTGGGGATATAAATGGCTTCGCAATCTAGGGTCATTACGAAGATCTCCATTTGATCCTCTAAAAGCGTGAATTAGCACCACTGTCTCCGTTTAGGTTTCATGGATTATAAAAATATACAAGAGTATAACATACTTTGAACAAGCAGACCCAGGACCGTTGGGTCTACCACACCCTCAGCGAACAAGAGATCTAGTGCCAGCTTCATCTCAGAAAGTAATTTCCTGAAATCTCTACGAAGGAACACGTTAGAAGTGCCTGGGAGTTTCACCTCCACTATGAGTAGAGGCAGACCGTTGGCCGTAACCAAGTGATCTGGTCTAAAGCGCTCCTCATAGTATTCCTCCGTTGGGAATTCGTAATCGCTGAAAGCGGAGGCGTGTTATACCAAGAGTGAAGAAATAACATGTGAATATCCTGCAGAAGTGAATGAAGAACAAAGAACTGACAGGTCCACTACTCACCAAAGTCCTATAGTTTCTGCGATGGCATAGAGGTAGGGCCTGAGGTAGAGCATGCTGTATGTCATCTCGTTTATTTTGGGTGGCTCCCAAAAGAACGTATCGCTGCCAACCGTGGTGAAAATACTCTTGAGCATTTCACTTGCTCCTTCCCAACCCTGTTCAAGACAGGCGCGATACTCGGAAGCAGAGTTTGACGCCTCTGCTTTCTCCATGCAGAATTTGGAAAAAGCCAAATCCTGCTCACTCAAGGCTACGGTCGTTGTAGCCTTGAAAAAGTGGCTAAGGATCATACCATGCCTGTCTTTTGGACAATACTTTTCCATAAATTCCTTTGTAAAAATGAAGTTTATGGAGCTTGAAATCACAGTAAGAACTGTATTAGTGTCACGACCTTCGGTGTATTCTCAAGCAATGAAATAAATGGTTGTAAAAAGCACTCACAGAATATCAGGTGAAGAGAGGAGCGTTCCCTGGCGCTGTTCCTCAAGTTTAACGAGCTCTTCTCGTGCCTCCATGAGGAGAGAAGACACGTCGAAACGTCCTTTCAAGACCAATCTATCCGTGACCTGGCTACTCCTCTCGCCTTCCCCAGTGAGGCGGTTGACAGGCTCAGACTTTTTAGTCTTGTCAGACTCGTTAGACTAGTTGTTATTATTTTATTAATATTGGAATCATAATGGAAGTAAATATTAGTCAAATCGGATCAATTCGTTGGTTCAACGTTAATTTATTCGATACATACCCCCTCCAGGTAACCTCTGATTTTTCTTGTTTTTATGTCTACAAGTAGGGCACGTAAGCTCTCCTTGTAAATCATATTCACGACCGAATCGTTATTTTTTGGTCGCGTCATGTTCTTGATCCTTGTAATAATGTTGTTGAAGCTTTTAACACTACGGCCCATACAGTTTTCTTTGGCGATCAATTCGACGAAATGGAAAATGGTAAGATCCTTTGGGCTTGGCCATTCGCCAATTGGAAATTGGCATACCATGTTTTCGAAAATGAATGAGTTGACGGCCATTTTGTCTGAAGAGGTTTAATAAAGTGGTGCGGAAGTTTTTTTAAAAGTGTTACGAAGATGAGAGTGACAAAACTTGGCTTGTTGCTTAAGACAATGTGAGATGTTTTTCAGATATTAGAAGTCAAGGAGATCAAAAGTTGTTTTTATTATTGTCAAACGAGAGCCTTTTATCAAAGACTCTCTATGACCGTCACATGATATTCTGACCTTATGAATAAAAATGGAAGTGCACCTGAGGTGCACTCCCAAGCCTCGGTACGTAACAACTCCCCCCTAGGCTCGTCACCAGCCTGAGGACGAAGCGCACGTGTGTTTACACGTGCTGCAAGGCAAGCGTGCCTAAAAAGGCAACTGGTGGCTTGCTCTTGCAGATGCTTCTCTCTCAGGCTGGTGACGAGCCTATCTCTCAGGCTGGAATCAAAAGTCGACTATTAGCTGGCGACTTAAATTTTTTGAATTTTTTTTTTTTTCAAAGTCAAAAATCATATGGAAGAGCGTACAAAACACATGCAACTCACATTCATGCTTATATGGAGTCAATCTGGCATATATAGATCGGATACACATATACTTTTCAACATTAACTTTTATCTTTCTTTCTCTCTCTTACCTTTCTTCTCCCTCTCCCTCTCCTTCTCCCTCTCCCTCTCCCTCTTCCTCTCTCTCTCCCTCACCACCTCACTCTTCCCCTCGCCTTCACCCCTTCTCTCACTCTCATTGCGCTCCCATTGCAATCTCATTACACACCTGCTACACACTCATTACCGACCTGTAGTTTTCTCTAACATTTGCAAAAAAAAAATTAATAAAATATTTTGCAACATGCCAAAAAGCAAGAAACAGACGAAACGTGCCACTTCTTTGAGAGCCGTTTATAACGTGATGGCAAAGCATAGGCTTTCGCTGAGGGCTTTCTTGAAAGCCTCGTTAGTGTCGCAAGACTCTAATATTAAGCGTAAGGTTAATTTTTTCTATGCAAATGATGGTCCTGCAGAAATTATCGACCTGTGGCAGCGAGGCATTACGGACCCGGAGCATATGAAGAGTGCTCTTTCTGGTGCTATTGAATTTGTTCTCCATTCTGCAAAGGATGAGCTCAGGGAGGTTACAGCAGATAACACGTTGCGACTTCCATCTAATGGTGTTTGTAAGGAGAGAACCGATAAGTTTTCACTTCAAAATATTGCCAACAGATTTCAATCCATTGCTCCTACCGTTTATTCGCTCCTGAATGGCCTTACCAGAGCGAATAAATCAAGTTCCAGGGATGCTACAACAGTAGTTCCTGTCATTGCAAGTATCTTGGGCTTCTTATACAGCAACAGATGCAATTATCTTCAAATGATGACTGGATTATATATGTTTGGTAAAGGTGCGCCTGTCAAGCTTGTCAATCTTTTCTCAAAGGCAGGACTTTCAGTTTCTCATCCCACAATCATGAGGGGTCTAAAGGCATTAAGTACGGACTCACGCGATCGTATCCAGGCTACAGTAAGAGAAGTGCCTTGGTATATCGTATACGATAATATAAATATGGCGTCTCACAAGCACCATCAACGACTTGGAAACAGGGACATATTTGTAAGTGGAACTACAGCAACTGCAATCGTCTCAAATGTTGCAGCCGAGGAGGAGATAAACTTCAAGCCCACACAATCCCTTCGCCTACAGGACTTGATGCCTACTGATGACAATGAAGCTCATCTTCGAAAAGTTTTTCAATACCACTTGGTCGGAGTTCTACTCCGAAATTTTAAAAGATTTGATGGGCAATCAATGCCAGCACCTACAAAGCACTTACTGACGCTCGAAAAGACGAAAACTTTTCCGCTTCCATCAATGCGTATTGACCAAGGAACGATTCGCGGTAACTTGGAAGTCTTGGAATTTATAACGGAAGCTGCGCTGGAACTCCCGCATGAATGGTTTGAGGGACGAAGAATACTCATTGCTGGTGACCAGCTGACGGTCAGTAGGCTCCGTTCATTGAAGGAATTACGTGCAGACGATATCTCATCATACCACCGCCTTGACTGGGTCATACCTGTCATTCAGTTATTCCATCTTCAAATGCTTCTGGCCTCAACAATTTTGCGTACCCATTATGGCACTGCTTCAACACCTGGTTCAATTGCGTTCAATGTATCGTTGCTTGAACGAAAGAGGGTTTCCCTAGAGAAGCCTGATTTTCATGCCACAAATGAGCTTCTCCGCGAGTCATTTGATGCACTAGTACAACGGGCATGGGAGCTTACTCTACTAAGTACAAACTTGGAAGAATTTGCGGAAGGTGTCTCCGATGAAGTACTTAAAATTGAACTCATGGCGAAAGTGGACACATTAATTGATAGATTTCTTCTGACTGGCTCCTTAGAAATCCTCGATGGGACCACATCTAGGAATTCCGCCTTGTTTCTCCGTGACATGCTTTTTTACTTGGAGCTATCGTCTGCGATCAAAGCAGGTGATCATGGGCGCATTGAAGAGATTCTAAAATGGATCACAATAATGTTTCAAGCCGGATCAACAAAAAACTATGCAAATGAACTTCTGCATCTACATTGCGGCTTTGCTTACTCCTGGTCCAAGCAAACAAAGGATGCCGTTAGATCTTCATGGCTAGTCAATACCACTGGCCAACCAAACCGTTGGATACCAGCAGACCTTTACCAAGAGCACAACAATTTATTGATCAAGAATTTATTTAAAGCGAAACGAACCTGTGACCACTGGGAAATGGAGGAAGAGACACTTTCTGTCAATGTTCAGACTCTCGGTGATCTATCGGACCAAATGGAGATTGATTTTAATATTCCATACACAGGCACTAAACATGAAAATATGTCGATGAGCGATGACATCTCAGCAATCCACAAGTCATTAGTAGAGTATTATATCTTTGACAACATACCTCAGGAGAAGAGGAATCATCCAAACTTTGGAAACGCCACATCAGTGGCTAATCTCCTCATAGAAGGCATAATAAAAATGAATGAAGGCAAGCGCATCCAATCATTCGTCAATTCAGTCTGTGTCCGGAAGCAGGGTGGGGATTTGAGCGTTGACAATGATATGAATGTAGATAATGAGACGGAGATTGAAGACGAGGAGGAAGATATGCAGGACGATATTGTTGGTTTTGATATTACTGATTACGTCCATGCGACCTGTGAACAATAAACCAAAGAGATTCTGTTTGCTTAATTTGTTTATTGAATGATAAAAATCTTCATGGTTCCCAAGATATAAATTTTATATTATTTTGTGATGTTGTTGGACTACTTAGCTCTTTGCGCTTTCGTGAAGACCGAGATGTCAGTTTCTCTTTTCTAGGGTGCTCCTGCGGTTGTTCCTGCGGTGGCTCGTGCTCTTGTAGTCCTTCTTGCAATGGTTGTTGACATTGCAGTGGTTGTCTGAGCAGCAACTGATTCAGTGGCGGCTGTAACAGCAGTTGCCGCGTTGGTGGATTACTCAAAATTGCTTGCAATATCTGTTGCAAAAGTAGTTGCTGTTGTTCCAGTGGTTGTTGCAACTCTGATAGCTTGCAACAATGGCATTCTTGGTGCTGTAGAGGCCCTAATGCATCCCATGGTATTAACTGCTTCAGCGGTGGTTGTCGTATTAGATGATGGACTTTTTGCGACTTGAGTAGCGCCTCCAGTCCTTGAATTGTGCTAAATTGCCCATATTGTCTTTCCTGCTGATGCTCAAGCAAATGATGCACTTGCTGTATTGGCTTTGCCTCCGCATCTTGTACTGATGGACGACTCGCTGATCTTGATTGTGTTCTCCTTGCCATGATGTCCGTCTTCAGATCAACAATCATGTCATCCAGAGTTTTTATATGATCCTGCTTAATGGAGAGCCATGGAATGACAGATTGAACTGACTCAGACGGTTTTATCCTCGCGACTTTTCCAGCAAGTGTTTTGATCATTTTGTTTGACATGATACATTCGAGGCTTACAAAGAGAGAACGACCTTCGTATTGCTCCTTGAAAATGTTATACCGCCATGTTTCAATTGCCTTTACTATCACCTTCCGCTCCGCTTCAGTGAATGATACTTTCGGAAGTATACTACCAGAGTCGCTTGTATCTGCCGCAACTAATCCATGTAAAGATTCCTCTGTTGATGGAAGAGAAGGATTACAGATGTCACAACACCTTGAAATAACTTTATGTTGGTTCCCGAAAAAGTTATTAAGGAGCTCGCGGCGACAACCTGTAGTTTTGACATATTCAACAATATCTTTATCCACATTACCTATAGATTTACTATTGGATGCCGGGACAAGAAGGATGCCATCCCCTTCTAGATCAGGGTTGCGTGCTGCACGACCAAGTCTCTGAATCAGGGTTGACAGATTTTTAGGATATCCGTACTGAATGACTCTGATAACATCATTCATGTCGCAACCCATGCCAGCGGCCTCTGTGGACATGAGGACTTGTATTTCGTTGTTTTTAAAATCAGACATTCTTATCTTCTTTAGGGGATCTGACTTCATCGAGTGATATACTGCGACTTGACGACAGCCTATGAGCTCACCAACGTGTCGAGCTGCTGCTTCCGCCTGTCGAATTTCATCAAAATAGACAATTGTCTTGATGCCATCTTTCAGAAATTCGAGATCTTGGTAGGAGGACGCTTTGTATCGTAGTTGCTTTACATGAAGCTGGATATTAGTCCGATCGTTACCATAGTTAAATATAACAGGATTACTAAAATGAAGCGTCTTCAAAACTTCAGAGAGAAGCACTGGGGGCAATATGGCGGAGACGGCCACAAAGCAGGTTGAAGGAGATACTTTTGCGCGTAAGTGCCCGAGCTTCGCATAGTCAGTTCTAAATTGTCCTCCCCAAGTCCCAATACAATGGGCCTCATCCACCACCACCGCTCTTAATCGGTTCTTCCATTCAGGGATGCTCCAAAGTGAGCTCACACGAGGGTTCTGAAAAATTATCTCAGGCGACATAAACACAGCGCGGTACTTTCCCTTAACCAGATCACTGACTGAAAACTCTGTTCCTTTCTTCAGATGGATGTTTGGGATACCAGATAAGTCGAGTTTTTCCGACTGTTCATCTCCTAGCGCTCTCAGCGGCGTGATAATGACTATAATTTCTTTCGGCCACAGAACTAGTGGAAGAAAATACACCAACGTCTTGCCCCACCCTGTACCAGCAATCAAAATACAATCTTGATGGCGTCCAATTGTCTCCACAACTTCAAGTTGCTCCTTTCTTGGGTAAAACTTGAAGGTATCATAGCATCTCTGACCAACATCATCAGGTAGGATGGAATATTCGCTTGCTGGGTTTGCTGGAGTACCAGTAGCTGACATTTGTTAATGTTGCAAAATATTTTATTAATTTTTTTTTTGCAAATGTTAGAGAAAACTACAGGTCGGTAATGAGTGTGTAGCAGGTGTGTAATGAGATTGCAATGGGAGCGCAATGAGAGTGAGAGAAGGGGTGAAGGCGAGGGGAAGAGTGAGGTGGTGAGGGAGAGAGAGAGGAAGAGGGAGAGGGAGAGGGAGAAGGAGAGGGAGAGGGAGAAGAAAGGTAAGAGAGAGAAAGAAAGATAAAAGTTAATGTTGAAAAGTATATGTGTATCCGATCTATATATGCCAGATTGACTCCATATAAGCATGAATGTGAGTTGCATGTGTTTTGTACGCTCTTCCATATGATTTTTGACTTTGAAAAAAAAAAAAATTCAAAAAATTTAAGTCGCCAGCTAATAGTCGACTTTTGATTCCAGCCTGAGAGATAGGCTCGTCACCAGCCTGAGAGAGAAGCATCTGCAAGAGCAAGCCACCAGTTGCCTTTTTAGGCACGCTTGCCTTGCAGCACGTGTAAACACACGTGCGCTTCGTCCTCAGGCTGGTGACGAGCCTAGGGGGGAGTTGTTACGTACCGAGGCTTGGGAGTGCACCTCAGGTGCACTTCCATTTTTATTCATAAGGTCAGAATATCATGTGACGGTCATAGAGAGTCTTTGATAAAAGGCTCTCGTTTGACAATAATAAAAACAACTTTTGATCTCCTTGACTTCTAATATCTGAAAAACATCTCACATTGTCTTAAGCAACAAGCCAAGTTTTGTCACTCTCATCTTCGTAACACTTTTAAAAAAACTTCCGCACCACTTTATTAAACCTCTTCAGACAAAATGGCCGTCAACTCATTCATTTTCGAAAACATGGTATGCCAATTTCCAATTGGCGAATGGCCAAGCCCAAAGGATCTTACCATTTTCCATTTCGTCGAATTGATCGCCAAAGAAAACTGTATGGGCCGTAGTGTTAAAAGCTTCAACAACATTATTACAAGGATCAAGAACATGACGCGACCAAAAAATAACGATTCGGTCGTGAATATGATTTACAAGGAGAGCTTACGTGCCCTACTTGTAGACATAAAAACAAGAAAAATCAGAGGTTACCTGGAGGGGGTATGTATCGAATAAATTAACGTTGAACCAACGAATTGATCCGATTTGACTAATATTTACTTCCATTATGATTCCAATATTAATAAAATAATAACAACTAGTCTAACGAGTCTGACAAGACTAAAAAGTCTGAGCCTGTCAACCGCCTCACTGGGGAAGGCGAGAGGAGTAGCCAGGTCACGGATAGATTGGTCTTGAAAGGACGTTTCGACGTGTCTTCTCTCCTCATGGAGGCACGAGAAGAGCTCGTTAAACTTGAGGAACAGCGCCAGGGAACGCTCCTCTCTTCACCTGATATTCTGTGAGTGCTTTTTACAACCATTTATTTCATTGCTTGAGAATACACCGAAGGTCGTGACACTAATACAGTTCTTACTGTGATTTCAAGCTCCATAAACTTCATTTTTACAAAGGAATTTATGGAAAAGTATTGTCCAAAAGACAGGCATGGTATGATCCTTAGCCACTTTTTCAAGGCTACAACGACCGTAGCCTTGAGTGAGCAGGATTTGGCTTTTTCCAAATTCTGCATGGAGAAAGCAGAGGCGTCAAACTCTGCTTCCGAGTATCGCGCCTGTCTTGAACAGGGTTGGGAAGGAGCAAGTGAAATGCTCAAGAGTATTTTCACCACGGTTGGCAGCGATACGTTCTTTTGGGAGCCACCCAAAATAAACGAGATGACATACAGCATGCTCTACCTCAGGCCCTACCTCTATGCCATCGCAGAAACTATAGGACTTTGGTGAGTAGTGGACCTGTCAGTTCTTTGTTCTTCATTCACTTCTGCAGGATATTCACATGTTATTTCTTCACTCTTGGTATAACACGCCTCCGCTTTCAGCGATTACGAATTCCCAACGGAGGAATACTATGAGGAGCGCTTTAGACCAGATCACTTGGTTACGGCCAACGGTCTGCCTCTACTCATAGTGGAGGTGAAACTCCCAGGCACTTCTAACGTGTTCCTTCGTAGAGATTTCAGGAAATTACTTTCTGAGATGAAGCTGGCACTAGATCTCTTGTTCGCTGAGGGTGTGGTAGACCCAACGGTCCTGGGTCTGCTTGTTCAAAGTATGTTATACTCTTGTATATTTTTATAATCCATGAAACCTAAACGGAGACAGTGGTGCTAATTCACGCTTTTAGAGGATCAAATGGAGATCTTCGTAATGACCCTAGATTGCGAAGCCATTTATATCCCCAGACTATTGGGCAAGGTCACACTGCCCAAGGATAAGAAGAGCCTTGGAGTAATTGCAGAAGCAGTGCCAATTCTGGAGGCTACAAAGGCACCTTACTTGAAAGCCAAGGAAGCTGTCGAGGGGCGACCCGCGAGCGTTACAGGCGCGGTGAAACATGCCCATACATGGGTGAGGCCATCTTTTCACCTCTGCAAGCTCAAGGATAGAAAGCGCAAGAGATCAGAATAAATTGCTTCATTAAGGATTGTTTATTGTACTATTCATCTTTAATGCCTGATGCTTCTTGCTATTCCAACGAATTATAAACAAATCCGTCAAGAGTCTTGCCCACGATACCCTCATCCATGCCCCTCAACAAAAACCGCAGACCGATAACTGCTAATCATCTGAGTGTGCAAACGAATGAAATCTTGATTGATCTAATATTAATACAGAGTATATGATAGTAAGTTAAAATCGGTTTTGATATCGAGTTGCAGGTTGCAGGTTTGAATAAAGGCCATGCGTTTGTAGTACCATGCAAAGGATCACATCCTTATCCATT